AGTGGGGTGCTTCTGGAGAAGCACGTCGCGAGCAGTAGCAAGGCGGTCAGGGAGGCGTGTGACTAACCAGTGCACAGTGAGCCACATGGGGGGGGGAGCGACAAGAAGCTGAGCATCAGTGCAGGCCGCACGGAAACTGGTGTCAAGTGAACGCAGGTGAGTCACGAGGTCAGACACAGTCGCAAACGAGCCAAGGTCGGGAAACACGAACGGCATGAGGAGGCGACTGAGGGAGGCAGAGGAAGGGGTGGAATAGCGCGCAATAACATCATCCCAAATCCCTTGCGCGGTCTCCACCTGGACAAAGTGGACGGTCTCAGTCGGTGGGAGGAGCTCCGTCGGCGCAAGAGCAGTGGCGGCGTTGCGAGAGTCCCACACATCCCTCGCCAATACACGACGGTCGTAGTCCGCCTGCGCCGCAGGAGTCGGCTCCGGGTCGATCGGGAGGGGGTCGGGAGACAGGGGCGCCTTGAGAGCACCAGACGCGTGGGCCCACAGGGTGGCGCCGTCCTGACGCTGTCTGGTGAGGTAGCGTGTGGCCTGGCGCTGCCAGGTACTGAACTCGATCGGTCGTCCCTACGCATCGAAACGAAGGCGGCGGGACTCCATACTGGAGGCTAGGCTAGAGGCGGCTGGAGCGCGGAGGAGGCGGGTCTAGGAACGAGGAGGGAAATCTAGGAGCGCCAAGAGTGGCGAGGCAAGAGACTGGCGGAGCTAGTGGCTAGGAGCTAGTGGCTACACTGGTCTAACCTAGGCGACCGGTGAGAGTAGCGGCTGCCAGCTGCTGACCAAGAGACCAATGACAGTAGGAACGGAAGGGGACCAAGAAGGCGATCGCGGGTGAGTACTCCTCTCAGTGGCAGACAGCCATGGACGCAGAGATGGCATCCTGGAAGTCCACAGGCACCTACGTCGACGAGGTTCCCCCACCTGGGGCGAACATCGTCAGTGGCATGTGGATTTTCAGGGTGAAGCGGCCGCCGGGTTCTCCGCCTGCCTTCAAGGCGCGTTACGTTGCACGAGGTTTCAGTCAGCGAGAGGGAGTAGACTTCTTCCAGACCTTCTCCCCCACCCCGAAGATGACCACTCTTCGGGTGCTGCTGCACGTTGCCGCTCAGCGTGACTACGAGCTTCACTCTCTTGACTTCAGCACAGCCTTCTTACAGGGCAGCCTGCACGAGGAGATCTGGCTGCGCCGCCCACCTGGCTTCACTGGGTCGTTCCCTCATGGTACCCAGTGGAGCCTCAGGCGGCCGGTCTACGGTCTCCGCCAGGCGCCACGTGAGTGGCACGACACACTGAGGACGACACTTGCGGCTCTTGGGTTTGCTCCGTCGACTGCTGACCCGTCGCTGTTTCTGCGCACCGACACTTCGCTGCCGCCGTTCTACATCCTCGTGTACGTCGACAACTTGGTCTTTGCCACTGCTGACACTGAGGCTCTCGCCCTGGTGAAGTCGGAGCTGCAGAAGAGACACACGTGCACAGACCTGGGTGAGCTGACAAGCTATCTTGGCTTGTAAATCACCCGGGACAGAGCACGCCGCACCATCACCCTGACTCAGACACACATGGTGCAGCAGGTCCTTCAGCGCTTCGGCTTCACCTGGTCCTCGGCACAGGCCACTCCTCTGGCTACAGGTCACTCGCTCTCAGCTCCACCTTCGGACGAGTCCGTAGAGCCGAGTGGTCCTTACCCAGAGCTAGTTGACTGCCTCATGTACCTGATGACCTGCACTCGTCCTGACCTCGCGTACCCTCTTGGCCTTCTGGTTCGCTACGTGGCTCCTGGTCGGCACCGAAAGGTGCACATGGATGCTGCTAAGAGGGTACTGCGCTACTTGTGCAGTACATCGGGCATGGGGCTCGTGCTTGGAGGACGGGGCCACGTTGTCCTCACTGGTCACTCAGACACTTCTTGGGTTGACGACCAGGCTACGCAGCGGTCCTCACAGGGTTACACCTTCAGCCTTGGCTCTGGTTCAGTTTCTTGGCGTTCTACACGCTCGTCTTCAGTTCTCAGCTCCAGTTGTGAGGCTGAGATCTACGCCACAGCCATGGCTGCACGGGAGTTACGCTGGCTCACCTACCTGCTGACCAACCTGGGAGAGCGGCCTCGTTCTCCTCCAGTGCTGTACGTCGACAACAAGGCAGCCATTGCCTTGTGTCAGGAGCACAGACTGGAGCACAGAACGAAGCACATCGCTCTGCGTTACTTCCTGGCTCGAGAGTTGCAGCAGCGGGGTCAGCTTCGTCTTGCTCACATGGCCACTCGGGCCAACACTGCTGATATATTCACCAAGGCACTTCCGTCTGGTGATCATCAGCGCTTTTGTACTTTGTTGGGCCTTGTGCCTACGTTTCCACACTTGCTGTAGATTCTGCTTGTATTGTGATCTATACATATATACCTGCATGCTTGCTCTTGTTAGGTAGTGATCCCTGTGCTATTGCTGCATATACATCTCTGCATGTGAACTGGCCTTGTGGCCTCTTGCTTGTGCTCAGAGTGTGTGGTGACTTTGTGATCCACCCTGAGCTGTGTTTTGTTTCTTCTCTTGACTGGTCTTGTGACCTTTGCTTGCTCTGGCTATCCCCCATTTCGCCTATGGGGGTGTGTCAAACAATATATGCATGTTTAGGTTATCTAGGCTGTATGGGGGTTAGCACTAGGGGGTACAATATTTCTCTCGACATTCTTCTTGTACCCCCCCCTTGACCCAATCACACACTACTTCCTAGTATTCTAACACTGCGGGGCTGGGGCGACGGGCCAGGGCGCGGCCTGGGGCGACGGGCTAGGGCGCGGACTGGGGCGACGGGCCAGGGCGCGGGCTGGGGCGACGGGCTAGGGCGCGGGCTGGGGCGACGGGCCAGGGCGCGGCCTGGGGCGACGGGCTAGGGCGCGGCCTAGGGCGACGAGCCAGGGCGCGGGCGCTGGCGAAGGAACAGGCTAGGCGCGGAGGGCGCGTATGGCACTAGGGCGCTAAGGGCGCGGAGGGCGCGAGAGCGCGGAGGGCGCGGAGGGATCTAGGGCGCAGATGGATCTAGGGCGCGGAAGGCGAGGAGGGCGCGGAGGGCACAGAGGGCACGGAGAGCGCGGAGGGCACGGAGGGCACGGAGAGCGCGGAGGGCGCGGAGAGCGCTAGGGCGCGGAGGGCGCGAACACGGGCTAGGCTAGGCTAGGAAACAAACATAATTGGTACCAACTTAAAGTAGGAACACAACGGAATGTGTGAACTAGGGAAACAAGGGATACAAATAGCAACCCTAAAAATGTTGTACTCCCTATAGTGCTACTCACTGTAGCCTAAGAACCTATAGTAACATTTGACACATGGGTATCCCCTCCCACTATGAGCCCTAACTCAGCCCTGCGGGAAACCCTATTTTTTTCGGGGCGAGAGTTAGGCTGGGCTAGGGCTCATCGGTTGCTGGTGTGCGAAGTGCTCGGGATGTTCCGAGATGTTTCTGAGGGGCCATTAACACTCTTGTAAGGGGTACGTTTGACAGTCATGAAGTGTTCGCCCGGTTCGGGAGTGTTAATCAGGCTCAACACCATTTTCTGGGTTGACCAAGAAAAAAAACACCAATTTCGAAACCGCCTCGACGATTCCGATGTGTTTGTCTGCCTGTCGAGCAGGGTCATTGGTTTGTTCGTTTGCAGCGGACGTCCCACGACCTCACCAAAAGCTGATAGGATTCAAGCTGTATGAATCTCTACATCAAACATATAACATTTTCACCCTTTTACAAATGTTGGGAAGTCAATGTTACAATCTAATCTGGTGGCAGACCACCCCGCTTGGCGTGCCAGAGGCGGGACTTGCGGAGCTTGAGGAATGTTGCCAGTTCGATGGAGGCCTACTAGTTCTTTCAAGCTGTTGTTGTAAAAATGATCTCAAGCTCTGGGTCATCTATGGGCGCTTCAACGTCACCAGCTTCACCGCCTGGCGGGTCCGCTAAAAGCTCATGGCGCCGTTTTCGCATATCTTCACGGGAATCTCACTCAATAGCTCACAGCCTCGCCTAGGGCCGACGGCGTTCTCAGCTATTCCGATGGAGTTTCTGAAACCGTCATGGCATTACCCGTGAAAGACGGAGCCAGCAAGCTGTACAGTTCTCGTGCAATATGCGGTAAGACTTTCTATGAGCTCTCGCTCTTGCCGCTTGATCATGTATCGCTGCCGATGATTTTTTTTTCCTTCTTTTAACTTCCTGCATTTCATCGTGCGCAATTAAGCCGGCGATCACGAGGCATTCGTGCCGTTGAAGTGCATCGTGACTATGCTGCACGTAGATGAAACCAGATGGGTATGTCTGCTCGCGTGTAGGCCCTCTCGCAGGGCCTCTGTCATTGGTGGGCCTGGAATCCCCATAAATTTCATGCGTCGGAAAACGGCAACGCGCTCGCGTTGCAACCTGCGAAGAAATCAAATTTCTGTTACAGCATCTCATCCTCTTGTACTCTCGCCATTCCTTTCCGCAGGTCGGCCGGCATCGGCAATAATGAAGACGTAGCTCCAATTACGGACGCCTGAAGCAGATTAATCACGAATATCGTTCTGATCAAACAGTGTGACAAGTGTATGGCGAGATACAGGTTACTCTGTTGTAAACCTTGTAATTTGTATTGTGAATGCGTAAGCCAGCGGTTGTAAGGCCCATTTCTCTACGGCAAGCCAGCCAGCATCGCTGCTGCGTAGTTTTTTTTGTGTATTTATTGTTATAACATATTTTGAGATTTTCGTTTGTGACGCCTAGAGTAAAGAAACATTTATGTTGAATGTTCCTAACGGAAATGATACATACAAATCGGCACTCGTTGTAACCTGTCCACTCATGAATGCACCTCATACTCGGCTTCGGCTCTGTCAGAGACTTGTCAGAGGCTAGTGCGCAGTGACCGTGAATAACTACTGTTCCTTGCTAGACCTATCTGAAGTCTCGATGCGAGTCGCTTCTTGGTTTAGCTTGTAGTAGCGTCAGTTCCTCCTGATATGAGCGCGTCTGGTCGAGGCGTCAGAGGGGACTTGGAAGCGGGGCCTGAACCAGGCACGAATTCGGGTCTCGCTTCGGGATTCTCGTCAACCGCAGGATGGTCGGTGCCGTCCGCCGTCGATATGCGATGGGTAGGCTGCTACGCTAGCAGTCGCATAGACTGATTAGTGTTACCCGCGCTTATTGCAACTCAATGGTTCAGGCTTCGTGCTAGTCGTGATTGCGTCTTATGGCGAAGGCTAGACTTGATTCGTTCAGCGTCTCAGGACTTGAAACGCGGAAAGGCAATTGTAGCGCCAGCTCCTGCCGGACCCTTTCGGCGTTCTCTACTCCGTCCCGTGCCGTCCTGTCGCTGGTCGGTGCAGTCCTGCCCGTCTTAAACTGTGTTGCCATGCGAAGACAAGTCGCGCTCCCTGTTTATTACATGTCACGCGTTGCTTGTGTTCGCTTCTATCTGAACGCCGGATTCAAGGCACGCCATTTCTCCGCAAGGGTCTTACATGTGTCGTCCGTATTCCATTCCTCCCATGCTGTCCATGCTGCAGAGAGCACCAGGCGGCCAATCGTCAGGTTCCAGTAACGGGGCCTTCACGGGGACGAGCGGGCTGTCGATTCAGTCTGGTGGTGCACCACCATCCACCCAATCCGGCTTCCCATTCTCACAGCCGCAGTCCGTTGGACTCTCAGGGTCGGGAGGCCAGGGGTCCGTTGCAGCGAGGGAGTTGATTGTCAATGTTCAACCGCTCGTCTTCATCCTCACACGTAAGCAGCCTATCTGTCCTGACAGACTCAAGGACCCCCCACAACGAAGTACTAGTATAGGAGGTCAGGCATCCGTTGGGGCGCAGGAGTTGAGCGTCAATGTCCAACCGCTCGTCTTCATCCTCACCCGTAAGCAGCCCAGAGTTTCTTGTTCTTGTAAATAATGAAGATTTGTTTGTCTGACACTCAGTGTTCAGCCTCTGCCGCATTGACTCACTCCTCTCTCGTCCTGCCCTCCCCCACGTGCTCTCTTTTCCCTGCTCTTTGTTCCCTGCTCCCGGTTTCCTGCTCTCTCCTTCCCGTTCTCTGTTGCCCTGCTGTCTGTCCTGCCATTGTGCAGTCATGTTTCTCCTCATGCTGCTCAGCTTCCCTCAGGCTTCAGAGTTTCTGGTACGCCGTTCCCAACCCCTCCTCGCCTATCCCACCACATAGTGAGCACTAAGACCAGTGCTTATGGCGTTTCGGCCTCTTCTTCAGTATTTTTGTGGTTAATGCTTATGCGAGGACTTGGGCAATAAACTTCACGTCACCCTTTCTCTGCTCTTCTGCATACACTCATGTCCCTGCTCTACACGCATGAACTTCATTCCCCTTAATGCACATCATTCCCTTGAATACATGCCACCCCCCTTCACTCCTCCCCTTCCCTCCCCCTCCCCCATCGCCCACCCCGTATCAGCTGTGGGTGTTCATCGGAGCGTTTGTAGCAGCCATGCTGCGAGGTCTCTCCCTCTACCGCCATCTCGCCGACCAAGCCAGAGCTCAACGAGCCTTTGCCCGCCTCCTCGGCCTTCCCCCTTCCTCCACCTCCTTTCTCCTCTCTAATCCATCTGCGCTCGCCTCCCCTTTCCCCCCCTTTGGGCCGCCGTTCTCGAGTCTTCCCTTCCAGCCTGCAAGGGATGCTGCAGTCCCTCTCTCCGACCTCCCCTCCTTCCCCTCTCTCTCCCCCTTCCCCGCCTTCCCCTCGTCCCTCTCCCCTTCCATCTCCCCGTCCTCATCCTCTGGAAACCTCAGCCAATCCACGTCAGCAGCAGCGGCTAGATCAGCATCCGCATCAGCTCCAGCTGGAGCTGAGTCAGCGGCATCTGCTTCTGCCGCCCAGCGTATGCACATGCAACAGCCACAGGCACAGGCACTGTCAGAGCTCGGTGGGGAGTGGTTTGGAGTGGGGGAGAGGGGTGGAAGAATGGAGGACGGGTCGTTGCTTGCTGCAAGAATAGGGTCGCTGGTACGAGCACAGTTCGGGCAGCTAGGTGCTTCTCGACAGCAGCAGCCAGGGCAGCAGCTGCAGCAGCAGAGGCAGCAGCAATCAGGGCAGCAGCAGCAGGGGCAACAGGAGGAGGGGGGTCGCATGTGGTTGGAGCACCAGGCGCAGCTGCGGCGGTTGCAGCGGCACCTGGGGTTGCAGCTGGCGCTCATGCACCGAGAGCTGCAGGCATCAGGTGGGAGAGAGGCTTCAAACCGATTCTTTATCATGTGGTGGTAGGGGTCGCCACGTTCTTGTCTCTCCCCACACGTCCCGTTGTTCCCGTGCTTGCACCTGGGGGTGCAGCTGGCGCTCATGCACAGGGAGTTGCGGGAATCAGGTGGGGGGGTGGCTTCGAATCGACCTCCTCGCCACATTTCTCCCTTTCTGCCTGGTCCGTTCCAGACTACAAGCTACTGCATGCGCTGGATGCGGACAATGCTCCGTCCGTCCCTGTTCTGAGCGACGTTGGATTGAGTTTTTTTTTAGACTTATATCTCGCCTCATGTATCATGTTCCAATGTATTATGGTTTCTGCCTGGTCCGTTCCAGACTACGACCTGCTGCGTGCGCTGGATGCGGACAACGCTCCGTCAGTCCCTGCCCTGAGCGTCCTTGAGCTTGCGGTCTTAGATGCTGTGAAACTCTCTTCAACATTCTCCGTATGTCTCTCCTTTCTGCCTGCTCCGTTCCAGACTACGACCTGCTGCGTGCGCTGGATGCAGACAACGCTCCGTCCGTCCCTGCCCTGAGCGACGTCGAGATTGCTCGCTTGCCTGCTTTCCCATACAAGCCAAAGAGGTATGCGGTCTCACTGCCTGGTCAACAGAACCAGTCGTCAGGTCCTTCACATTGTAGGGCGTTTGGCCCCAGTCATTTATTATGTGTGATGTTTCATTTTCCTGGACCATGTTTCTTGTTGTGATTTTTCATTTGCCGGGCCTTGTAAGGGCGATGGGTCTCTGAGTGAAGTCAAACAATCCTGTTTTTTAGTAAACCCACCACGTCTCACTGTGTTCTGATTCCGTGCTACACCAGGAGTCGATCTGGTGCAAACAAGCCACGGCCCAGCCCCTCTTTGCAGTCATTATCGTCGCCGTCCATACAAGGAGCAGCAGCAGCATCAGCAGCTCCAGCTGCATCAGATGCTTCATCATCAGCAGCAGCCAGTGCAGTGTCAAGCAATCTGGTTTCAACCCAGCAAGGGAAGGAGGGAGATGAGAGCAGAAGCAGCAGTGAGCAGTGTACAGTGTGTTTGGAGCCTTTCCAGGAAGGGGAGATGGTTCGTCTGCTACCGTGCCTACACCAGGTGTGTCACTTCGTCCTGAAGTAGAGCTGTGCAATGAGGTGCACTGAAACCTTTGCGTCTTGGGATTATTTGCAGCAATTTATCTTCCTCTCCGTTCCCCTCCTTGTGCTTCTGCCAGTTCCATTCACACTGCATTGATCAGTGGCTACAACGCCAAGCCAACTGCCCGATCTGCAAGCACCAGCTAGTGCTGTCATGAGGTAATTTCTAACTTGTGCTTGCAATACATCAGTTCCATCCAGCCAGGGGACATTGATAGCTGCGCAGTCCGTTGTGTTTCCACTAGTCCTATTGACTGTATCTGTATTCTTTGTACCTTTTTCGAATTCATGTAGGTTTCTGCGTTACGGATCACGTTTACGGCAAGTGAATCTACTCTCCACAAGGGGGTAATTTGTGGCCTGAGTGAGCTAAATGGGGATTTGTACCCTATGACCCACGCTCATGGGATATTTCCGCCACGTCATGTGGCTGTTGGAGCATCCCATCATCCCATCCCATGCATCTGCGCGTAGTGTCTCGGAAGGAATGACCACAGCCCAGTGTGGTCAGCAGCAAGACAAAAGGGTACAGACTGGTACAGAGCAGAAACTCATGGCGGTCAGGGTGAAAACCCACTCGCAAGCCGCAATTGACTGGGTGATATCTTCCTATCAGCCAATCAGACTAATAATTTCCACGCTCCACATGGTCCCACACGAGGCTGCTACGCTTTTGACCTGGATTGTCTGCCAACGAAGCAGGACAGCACTTCTGCGGCTCGCCACGCGTAGCCTTTCATCCAATCAAATCTGCGTCTGCGACCCCTCTCCGCTTCCCCCGGACTTCCCCATTTCAGTCATCGTCTGTCTGTGTTCTTGGAGTCTGTGCTCCGCTTTCCCCATCCCTCCCACCCACCAACCCCACCCCACCCAACCCAACCCCAATCCCAAGGTCCCTGGAGATTTCATTCCAGCTCCACATTTTGACATTCCTGACATTCATGTGCTGGACTGGTTTTATTGATACCATTCCATTCACCCATTGACATTTCGCTTCTTGCTTTTGTCTCCCTTGTGTGTTCACCTCTCACCCGTCGAACTCGCTTCCGGAAACGACGACGCAGAGGGAAGGGCAGTAAGTCCGATACCAGACCCCAATCTTCTGAAGTCTCGACAAGTTCGTGATCATGGCTTCCAACGAGAAGGTTCTGCGAACGGACTCGATGAACCCGAACGTGCTAAAGACAGTGTACGCCGTTCGCGGCGAGCTCTATCTGCGAGCCGCGCAGCTTCAAGCCGAAGGCAAGGAGGTACGCGAATGACTTGGACATTTACTCCGTGCGAATCGTCCCTCATCCTTACAGCATTGTTTTGCGCCGTGCAGTTACTAACGACATGCATGTTCCTCCTTGCCAGCAATTGTGACGCCTGAAGCCATTTCTTTTAGCAACATGCATGTTAATGATTGGTTCTCCCGATCGCTTTCCTTCCTATCGTGCAACCGCAGATCATTTTCACGAATGTCGGCAACCCGCATTCCCTCGGACAGAAACCCATGACTTTCCCTCGCCTCGTGAGTCCCCTCCTCTTTTCACGCGTTCTTGTTACCAAATCTCTATTGTTCGACCTTAACTCTTTTTGTCATTACAGATGCCTACATTCCGTCTCTCGTCATTCCGAAGGAGCTTTGCAATATCCAAGGACTCACCTACATTCTGTCCCGTCGTCATCTCAATCAAGTTCTAAACGTCTGAAACGTGCGCCTTTCTCCTCGTCGACATTCCCAAGGTCCTCGCTCTCGCGGAGGCGCCCTTCCTGATGGATAACCCTGAGACCGCCAAGCTCTTCCCGGCGGACGCCATTGCTCGCGCTAAGAAGTACCTCTCCTTCACGACAGGCGGAATCGGTGAGTCGAGTCTCGCCACGCCTTGACAACGCCGAGTGTTTCGTGGGGTTATTTGCTGGGCAGACGGAATGGGTGTATGAAAGACGCGGTATTGTTTTGAAGCGCCTCACAAATCTGCGCTCGTCAGGCGAAACGGATGCGATGTTCCGCTTGTCGAACCGTGTTCTAAGCAGCATCCACTGACATTGCCGTTGTTCGACATATATTAGTAAGACTCGGTTCACATTCGGCAATGCGTCTGCGTCTCGTTAATTAACGCTTGTCCTCACCGTCTGACAGGCGCCTACATATTCACATTTCCACCTCGTGCCCTTCAATCTTTGTGCGCGTTTGTTTCCCGTACTGGCTTCCCCCTCAGGCGCATACAGCGACTCCCGCGGACTGGCGGGCATCCGCAAGGAGGTGGCGGAGTTCATCGCCAAGCGGGACGGCTTCCCCTCGTGAGTGCATCCCGCTGGTGCTGGGAATGGGAGCTAGACTGAGAATGCGACAACCCGAATCTTACACGACCGTTGCCAAAATTATACTATTGTAGTGCGGAACAGGAAAGCTGCCGATCTCTTTTCATTCGTCCAGTCTCTTCCCCCACCTCATCTCCCATCGCTCATCTCTCCTCCTCCTTTTCCCCTGCGCTTCTTCTCCTCTCCTCTCTCCTCAATGACCACGTGTCAACTGGGTGCAGTGACCCCGATAAGATATACCTCACGGACGGCGCCAGCAAGGGAGTGGAGCGCATGCTCAATGTGCTCATCCGGAACGAGAAGGACGGGGTGAGTGTCAATAGGGACGGCGCCTTTTCCTCAGCGCTCATTCGTATTCGCCTCAACGCTCTCGGCCGCGCGATGCTCCCCTCTCAGTACCTCCCCACACCCATCTTCCTGTACCGCTTCCTGCGCCCTTCCTCTTTCCGCCCCCTTTCCTCCTTTCCTTTCAGATCCTGTGCCCCATCCCGCAGTACCCCCTGTATTCCGCGTCCATCGCGCTGCTGGGCGGCACGCTGGTGCCATACTACCTGGACGAGAGCCAAGGCTGGGGGCTGGACATGGCGGAGCTCAAGCAGTCGTGCGAGGACGCGCGCAGCAAGGGCATCGAGGTGTGTGTGGGTCTGTAGGGGGCTGACGCTTGGAGGTTGGCTGATGAGGGAGGATGGATCGATCAGGGAGTGATGTTGAGCTGGATGTGGGGAATGGCCCTGACAATGATCTGTCTTCTTCTTCCCTCCCTCCGTACTTCCACAATAACTCCCTTCCTCCACTACTTCCCCCACCTCGCACCCACTGTACCCACTTCCTTCCGCTCGCTCCCACAGTACCCCCTTATCTTGCCAAATGTGCTCTCAACCCCGGCTAATTCTCGTGCTCCAAGTCCTCACGACAACCCCATGACCCCCTCCCTGCACCCACCGAACTCCATCCCTTCCCACCCATCCCCTTGGCCAGGTGCGGTGCCTGGTGTTCATCAACCCCGGCAATCCCACGGGCAACTGCCTGTCAGAGGAAAACCTCAAGGAGCTCGTCAAGTTCTGCGTCGACGAGCGCCTCGTGCTGCTCGCGGACGAGGTGTACCAGGAGAACGTGTACCAGGACGAGCGCCCCTTCCTCAGCGCCAAGAAGGTACGACAATGGTTTAAATTGGCACGTGCTGTGAATTCCGGGTTAGGGCGTTGGCAGGAGAGGCTTGTGCTGTCTTAGAGGATGATAACGTGCACCGAAAAGGAGTTCCTCAAAGTTGTTCCGCAAAGCTGAGGAGGAGGATTTGCGAGTTACGCACACTGCGAGGCACCTCAAACAAAGGCAGTGGATACAGCGTAGCCTCTTGTCCCGTCCTCCCTAAAGCTCGTGCTATACTCACGTGTGTAACCACTTGTTCGTGTGCTTACTCCCACTCCCCCTCCTCCCCCTCCCTCAACACTAAAGGTGGCGATGAGCATGGGCGAGCCGTACGCGTCGTCACTGGAGCTCGTGTCCTTCCACACAGTCTCCAAGGGCACGTTCGGGGAGTGCGGGCAGCGCGGCGGGTACATGGAGATCTTCAACATCGACGAGGGTGTGAGTATGAGAGGGTTTCCTTGTCACAGTTGTTAAGGGCCATGTTGACATGTACCGATGAAGATGGTGTGAGTGCTATGGCCACCTGGGGTTTTGCGGAGAGTGCGGGCAGCGCGGCGGGTACATGGAGATCTTCAACATCGATGAGGGCGTGAGTATCGGAGGGGGTCTTTTGTCACAGTTGTTAAGGGACATGTCGACATGTACTTCTCAGAATGGAGTGAGTGCTGTGATGGCCAATTAATAACGCTCGGCTTACATTCTTGGACTAGATCGCCATCTTCCTCTACCCACATCCTCGCACATACTTATATCCCCATGCGTGTGCCCGCCATGGCAGGTGTGCCAAGAGCTCTACAAGATGTCGTCCATCAGCCTCTGCCCCAACCTGTGCGGCCAGCTCATGGTCAGTCACTCCAGCTCTTTCGGCTCAGCTCATGGCTTCTGGTCACGGCAGTCAATACTTTATGTTCCCTCCAAACCACTGTTTCCTTTCGATGCTGAGGTTTCTTAGTTTGTGTTTGTTTGCTTGTTTTTGTACTTGATTCTGTTTTCTCCCTTTCTACCGTCATTGGCTTCAGGTGGGCCTCATGGTGAACCCCCCGGCTCCTGGTGACGCCTCATACGAGGAATTCACAGAGGAGAGGTGAGGAACCGAAGGGGGACGTAGGGTGTGTGGAGACGTGAGGCACAGGGGTCAACCGTTACTTTAAGATGGGGGAGATGGCAAGAGAAGAGACAATGCATGTGAGCGTGAGGGCTGGGGCGGCATCACCCCAGGTGGAACTTTTTTGTTGGCACTGAAATATACCTCGAGTCTTTCACAGTTGCATGTTGCCATGGATGCTGTCGGCATTATGAATGCAATGTCGATGCGCTTGCTCGTGATTAATCCTTTTTTTTTTTGTCACGTGTTGCGTATGGTTGGGCCTGGGGCTGTTGTGGTGTTTATGGTGGTGTTTGTGGTTTTGTTTGGGTCAACAGGAGCTCCCGCCTGGCCTCTCTGCGGCGCCGGGCGCACACAGTCACAGAGGGGTTCAACAGCTGCAAGAACATAACCTGCAACTTCACAGAAGGTGCGGGAAAAGCTGGGATTGGCTATGACTCACACCACCCCTCTCATCAGTATGACATCACAATCATCTGCCAGAGGTTTCTTGCCGACCTGCTGCCAGATGGAAACCTAGGCTGTAGCCAGGGCGCCTGAAGTCTACACTGCCCGTCGACAATCCATTGCCTATCTTCTCATGCCTATCTAGAAGGTATTGCCCGTCCTGTACCCGCTCCCTCCCAAACCCTATCCCCCCAGGCGCCATGTACTCCTTCCCTAGGATCAACCTGCCTGAGAAGGCCCTGGAGGCCGCCAAGGCAGCAGGCAAGGCGGCGGACGTGTTCTACTGCCTGCGGCTGCTGGAGGCCACAGGCATCACTGCCGTGCCGGGAACTGGTTTCGGGCAGAAGGAAGGGTGAGTGGTGTATGCGGACGGCAGGGGTGATATGTGAATGTGCTTTGATGCAATGTTGAGGCTGCAGCTGCTGGTGGCCACAGGCATCACTGCTGTGCCGGGACCTGGACTCGGGCAGAAGGAAGGGCGAGTGTATATGCTGAAGGTAGTGTGTTGCATGGAAGGAAGGGTGGGGTGCTTTGTGAATGTGCTGTGGTTGCTAAGGCGATTGGTGAATAGCAAGTGAAGCATGCTCATGGTTGCTGGAGATGAAGGCCATGACTGCTATGTTGGGATAAGGTCCAGGGTCGTGGAACAGGATTGTCCATCCGAAAAAAAATCCATGCAACCAATCTGAATACCTCATGCGAATTTCTGCCCCGCTATTGTGTTTCATTTCGCCCCTTTGATTACTAACCATATCAGCCCCTACTCATCTGTTGTTCATGCTAAAATCTTTCCACTTTTCAGGACCTTCCATCTGCGCACAACCATCTTGCCAAGTGAAGAGAAGATCCCAGAGATGATGGCAAAATTCAAGAAGTTCAATGACGAGTTCATGGACGAATATGCTTGATACCATGAACAGTAGTGTGCTTAGCATCTGCTCGTGCTATATTGTTTTTTTCAGAAGATAGTAATTATTCATATTGTGAACGAGTTTGGAAATTTTGGTATTTTGCAATTTGTTTCATTATTGGAACACCTGCGACATGGAAAAAAGCTCGCATTATCCAAATCTCGCACACTTGTACCCGTTACAAGTTCAGGAGAATCGTCGCCAACAAGTTCATCCGAGAATCACAGGAAATCGTCGCCAACCAGTTCAGGCGCCTTTTGACTAGTCTCCTCTGCTGGCGTAGCCGCACCACTCGCGCAAGTTAGAGCATCCTTGACGCAAAGCACAGCCATGGCTTCTCTAACAGCCGTAGGGAGCGAGGTGCTCGTTAGCTCTTTCAGACCCCTCCCTCAGACCGGTGCTGCTGTCGGTCGCGCATCCCTTCCCATCAGCTCTGCGCTCTCCACACGTTGCTCGTTCCAAAGCCGAAACCCTAATGCGAGGCGAGGAGCTTCCGTGGTCAGGAGAGCTTTAAGCGGGGGTCCGAACCGCAACCGCGACGAGAAGAATGATCCGGGAAAAGTGATCGAGTTTTCAGGGTCCGATGATAGCGACGCGGAAGCAGCGAGCAAGGAGAAGTCCACTGGTCAGCTGGACGACATTGGCGCGGAGCTAGCTCGCCTTAGGCAGGAACGCGCCGCAGCGGAAACAGCGGCGAAAGCTGATGAAGGAATTGGCGGATTTTGGCGTGGCGTGGTGGAGGAGACGCAGATGATTCAATGGCCGGCTTTCACGTCCGTCCTGGGAACGACTGGTGTGGTGGTTGTCGTCATCGTGTCCTCCGGTATCGTGCTGCTGACTGTCAATGCCTTGCTAGCCAACTTCTCAGACGCTCTTTTTGAGTTGCCAGCAGTCAGGGAGATCTGGCACCTGTAAGCTCTGTTGCTTCCACCTCCAAGGAAGCATTTTAGGACGTTTGCCTAGCTTGTGAATGCTTGATGAGATGACGAGCCACATGCAATGGTTATCATTGTAGCTGAAAATGAATGCCACAACCAAGTGTGCAACAGGCTACGCTTGGGTTGGCCGGTTGACAGCATTTGAGGTTTTTAACCAGAGGAGGACAAGCGGATAAACCAATGTGTTTCCCTTTATGTAATAAGTGAGGCAAGACTTCATAAATCTGTGATACAAGAGCCTGTTGTTGAGTGAAATCAAGAGTTCTGCATTGATGCTCATGTTTGTAAGGCTTCTCGTGTATTTCGATATAGCGAATTCCTTACTATCGAAGACTATGGTTTTTGGTGATGTCGCATGACAAGTGTCTGCGTCCACGATTCTCAGAGGAGCTGACGTGGTAATCCTTGATATGCCGTGCTCAATCCACATCCTGTCAGTTCCAGCACTGCCGTTTCTCGTCGTCAGCCAGCGCCGTAACACATGTTACGCGAGTTTATCGTGATCCTCCATCGCGTAACTGACACACTCTTCCAAGGAACCAGGTCCCTCGTTCATTCTCGCGAGAATTCGCTTGAAGGAAATCCCAAGGCTCAGCCATTTCCTGACCTGTCAACCATACCAGGCCTCCTGGCCATGTTTCCAAGCCCAACCTGTTCGTCCCACTCACTCACCCTCCCCTCTTCGTCTTTCCCCTCGGCCATTCTAGCCATTTCTCCCCCTCACATGCCTTTCTAGGGTTTCCCAAAGCCCTTCATTTTACTCCTGGGCTCTGCCATCATTGCCTTGGTTATCCATCGGGCTTAGGGAGAGTAGGAGGAACAACATAGTTGTCCGTGTTTCCGCGTAGGCTCTCGCTTTGCGTCGCTCCTTGGATTCAAACGATACGATGGCCCACGCCATGGCTTCCGTGTCGGGAGCAGCTCTCTCCTTCGAGAAGCTCTCTCTCTCCACCGCCTCCTCCCTCTCCATGTCTCGCTCCTCCTTCGTCTCCTCTCCCGCTCTCGTCGCCTGCCGGCCAGTCGCTCTCTCCGCGAAATGCGGCCCGTCGTTCGCGGTGGTGTCAGCGCAGGCTGTAGCGGATGTCGCGGCGCCTGCTGCGGAGTCGTCACGGCCGACCGGGCTTTTGTCCGGTTCGGACCCCGCCTGGAAGCTGGGGACAGCGGATAAGGCGCGTCTTAAGACGTACTATGAGTCCGCCGTGGTTCCCGCTATGCTCGCAGAGTTCGGATATGCGAACCCCCAGGAGGTGCCACGTGTCGAGAAGGTGGTGGTCAACTGCGGCATTGGCGACGCGTCGCAGAGCGCTAAGGTGCGTCGCAGAGCGGGAATTTGCGTCGCGAGTCGAATGTGCGTGGCACGAAGGCGCTCTTATTTAGTGATCCAACGACTAGAGATCCAAAGACGGTATCGCTTGGTGATAGAGGGATAGCGCGATTGCGAATCTAAATTTGGAGCTCCCAGAATAGAGATGACTGGCATTGCGTGTAAAAGTGGTTGCACATTCTGGCGATGGTTCGAATGAGCTGTGTAGGCCTAGTTAGGCTTAGAATGATGAGCCTAGCGCGGACGAGGCGGAGTGTGGTGTCTGTTGTAGCTTTTGGTTGGAGTCGTCTGGGGTCGTTAGACACAGTGGAGCGTTGCATCGCGCCATCGCAGTAGTCGCACAGGCGTCGCACAGCAGCGGTTTCCGATACCAATGTTCCCGACGTACGTGTCGCATCACCATCGCAAGCTCTGCCACTTTGTAGCTCAAGAGGCGTCTTTCAGGATACGGCAGAGTAGGGCGGAAACGCAGGGAGAGCAAGGGAGAAGGCGAAGCAGAGGGATCACTTAGACTCGATTGCTAATGTAATCTCATAGAACCTAAGTGCGTTGCTGATTGGTCGTCGTCGTTGCCAGAAGCCGCTGCAGCTGCTATCGTTTTCGGCGATGGAAGATGGAGAGTAGAGTGTTTTTCGAGTCATTTTCGTCAGGGCTATGGGACATCCGACTCACGACTCGCCTTAGACACGATAGGGCTACAGCTGAAGCTGCCCGTTGCCCATGGGAAACTGCCGCGCCCGTCGATTTTTGAGGTGCCTCAAAAGCCGTCGTTCATGGGAGACGACCCCGCCGGTCGCGCAGCCTTGGCCGAGCCAGCGACTCATAACGCGATGACTCTTGAGTCGACGCGACAGACGCTTGAGATGAATTTGCCCGCCCCCCCGCGCGTGCCAGCGGCATCCTTCCTCGCTGCCAGCCAGAACTCAGCTAGCGTCGCAAACACAGCGCCGTGGTTCGCCGGGAAGCGTGGCTCGAGTTTCTCCTCCCTCCCCCCCGTTCCTCCCCAACCCGCGGCCTCTTCCCCCCATCCCCGCGCAGACCCTCCACAGCGCAGCCAAGGATCTAGCGGCAGTGACGGGGCACCGAAGCTATCGTCTCACCGTCTTTCCCCCTCCATTTCCTCTCCCCCCCCCACTCCCGCCCTCCTTCTCCCCTCCCCCCATTCGCAGACCCTCGACAGCGCCGCGAAGGACCTGGCGGCGGTGACGGGGCAGCGGCCCGTCGTGACGCGCGCGCGGAAGGCTATTGCGGGGTTCAAGCTGCGCGCGGGCGTGCCTGTGGGGATGGCGACCACGCTCCGCGGACAGGTAAGACGCGGGAAAGGGGGCCGGAGAGGTGGAGAGTGCGGGGGACTTGCGGGATCTAATCTGCTCTTGCGGGTTGCCCGTGGGGATGGTTACCACTCCCGCGGGCAGGTGGGGAAGGGGAAGGGGAGCGGGTGGAGAGGGGTGGAATTGGGCGTTGCTTGAACGGATGTGGAGAGAAGGACAGGAGAGAAGGGACAGACTGATAAGGGGATGAGGAAGAGTGAATGGAGGAGGGACGATGAACTGGTGAAAGGGAGGGAGAAAGGAAACGGGAGGTGACAGGGGAGAAAGGAAGGCAGGAGGGGGGGTACAGGTGGCGTGGATATTGTTGAGAGGTGGAGTGACAGTGGCAATGGGAGGGAAGCAGCGACGGAGGAAACTGGGTAATATAACCTCAAATGTGTCAACTGAACAAATGCCCCTTCTCCCTTCCTTTCCCACGTCCCCCATCCCACCCCCTCCTCCTTCCCCTTCCCTGCTGCCTGCTCCTCCTCGCCCTCCTCCCGCTCTTTCGTACAGTGAAGTTTATTGAGTCAAATGAACAGGATAAATGAGCTCAGTAAATATTCTGTTATTAGTATATATGAAGACAAGTCGTGAAGAAACAAAACGTTCTCAACCTTCCCACTCTTTCGCCCCCTGCCCCTCCCCCCCCCACTCGTTCTGGAATGTCTCATCAACCTGAGAGACCACCTCTGCATCCCCTCACCACCCATCCTCCCCTCCTTCTTTCCCCGCCTCTACCTCAGATCATGTATGCCTATCTCGATCGTCTCATCAACCTCGCTCTTCCCCGCATGCGCGATTTCCGCGGCGTTTCCCGCGGCGGTTTCGACGGCCGTGGAAACTACTCCATGGGCCTGGCTGAGCAGACCCTGTACCCGGAGATTCGATTCGACGAGATTGACAAGACCCGCGGCATGGACATTTCCATTGTCACCACGGCTAAGACTGACGGGGAGGCGCAGCGGCTGCTGGAGCTTCTGGGCGTGCCGTTTAGGGAGGGCCCGGTTCCGGTTAAGGAGGCGAAGAGCAAGGGGAAGGGGCGGGGGCGTGGGCGCGGGGGTAAGCAGCAGCAGAAGAGCAAGAAGAGGTAGAGGGGTGTGGGTGTGGAGGTTTTGTTCGATTTCAAGGAATTAGGTTAGGAGTCTGATGTGTGTTCTTGGAAGCTGTAGCAGCAAGTCAGCTGTACACGCACATTAAACTCAAGGGCTTCGACCAAGTACGGTATACGTAAAAGTCACTGATCAACTCATCTAGTTTGTAACTCTAAATTAGTGCGGCCTAAATGAGACTGTAGTGAATCGTCACTAGAGCGCCATGAATTCGGGGAATTCAATTGACACTGTAGCGAATCGTCACTAAGTTTCCCCAGATTCTTTCCTGAGGTGTTTTCTTTTCGCACGTCCTTGTCAGCCCCACTCCTTTGTCGCGAAATAGTTGCCCAACCGGCGGATGGTTCGGACCAAAAGCACGGCTGAGAAACATCCGTTTTTCTCAGACCTCAAACATAATACACCAGACTGTAACTCACAGAACCGCAAGGAAAGCACTAGAACCGTCTTTAATGCCTCTCTTAGACGCCGCGGCCTGACAAGAGTCACCTGTAGCAGCCTGGTGTAACAGCAGGCGTGCATGCATGGAGAAACAATTGTCGCCTCGCCTCGCCTCGCCTGCCATGAAGGGAAGGGGAGGAGAGAGCCATCAAGCAGCAAGAAACCGCCATTCCCCGCCGTGCCTGCCTACCCGCCATCACCCCGGCCATCCCATACTTGTCCGAGAGGCATTAGTAGGTGTGCTTAGCCGAACGTGGTTTCCACGCCATTGTTCCGAAGCGAGAATCGGAAACTTCTTGATTCGGCCTTGTTTCGTAAGGCTGGTTTTCCACTGTTGTGAGTCTGTGAAGAAACGGTGGTAGGAAACCCCAGGTCAGTCACGTGGCAGATTCCTGCTCGTGCAGCCACAGGCGCCACGCGAAGTTTGGCGAACACTCTACGTTTGCTCGTGACCTCTCCTTGTTACATCGGTAACTTTTGAGTCGACTCAGTAGTCACCTCGATTGCCGCACACGTTTCTTGGTTGCTCCGGCACCCCGCCTTGCCACATCCCCGCTTTGTTACATCCTCGTGTACCAGTCGCCGAGTTCGCATTCGCATTCGCAAGCCGACGAAATAGTGTAACGTTTCGCGACAGTTGCTGATCATGCCGGAATCCGGTCCCTGCAGTCGAGGTGATGACTCAGCAGGTAACCGCTCCGCGCGGCTGGATTTGAACCTCGATTATTCCGCGCAGCCCTGTACTGCGGAGCTCGGCGCGGAGCAACGGGCGGAAGGCTGCGCGGGCGCGGGGAGTTCCGCAGAAAGGGGGGAATCCCTTGCGGAGAGGGGGGATTTTTCCGCAGGAGGAGGATTTTTGGACACAGCCGCGGCGGTGGGGGAACCGTTGGCGGAAGATGATACCGCAGGGTCGGGGGAAACAGCGGTGGGGGGAGCGGGTGGCGGAGCGGAGGCGGAAGAGTCGGAGGGCGGAGACGCGGAAGAACCGGCGGCGCTAGACGACCTTGTCGGAAGGGCCTCGCGCTTTGCGCAGAGACTGGCGCAGCGGAGACTCCAGGCGGCGGGAGAGCGCGCGGGGGGGGACGCGCAGGTAGGCTCAAGGGGAAGAGGGGGCGGAAACAGCAGTGGCGGCGCAGGCGCTGGCGGAAGAGAAGGCGCGGAGTACACCCGCGCGGGGGGGACGGCGGGGGGAAGCGGTGAAGGCGGGGTGGGGGGAAGCGGGGGGGAAAGCGGAGGGGGATTTCAGGCCATTTTAGCGGCAATAGGGGCAGGGGGCGATGATGAGGCCGCAGGAGGGGATGGCGACACGGATAACGAATGTGATAATAGCGAGGACGAGGATAAGGAGGAGAGTGGTGATACTAGCGCGGATAGCAGCAGTGACGACTCGGATGGGGAGGAGGGGGAAGGGGAGGACAAAGGGGAGAGCAGCAGTAGCGGAGAGAGCAGTGACGAGGATGACAATAGCGAGGATGACAGTAGCGAGGACGATAATAACGCGTACGGCCAACAAGCGGGCAGGGGGAGCGAGTTCTGGTTCACGTTCGGCGCGCGGACGGGGATGAGCGACGAGGGGGAGGGGGAGGCGGAGGCGGGGGAAGGGGGCGCGCGGGGGAGAGGGGAAAAGGGCAAGCGGAAAGGGTGGGTGAGTCGGAAGGAGGCGGCGCGCGCGTTTGGGGCGCATCCCGTGGCGCATGCGACGCGCGTATGGTCTTCCGCGCATGGCAGGACCTCCGCGCTCTGCCGGAAGAGGCAGAATGGGGGGAGCGGGGGGAGTGGGGGAAGCGGGGGGAGCGGGGGGAGGGGACGGGAGGAAGCGCGGAAACAGGCAGAGATGGGGGCACTGTGGGATTTTGGGGGGACGGGGGATGGGGAGGGCAAGGGGGAGAGGGGCGAAGGGGAGGGGAGGGGGGAGAAGCGGAAGGGGAAGGGGGAAAAGAGGGGTGCAGAGCGGTGTGACACGGTGAACGTGCACCAGATGCTGCTGTCGCGAGAAGTGAACGTGTCGGTGCGTTTGATCTGATTTGATTTGATTTAACTCTGGATTCACCTTTCTTCCTGTCGGTGCGTTCCATCTGAATCAACGCTGAATTCAGAAACGTGAGAAACTCTGTATTCACGTTTCTCCCTCTTGGTGCCTTCCACATGGCCCCCCCCCTTCGCTCGCCGCAACATGCATGCGTGTGCTGTGAATGAGGGCTTTGTTAGGTCCCCCGTGTGTTGACTCGTGTAGCCCAAACACACCCCAATTCTTCCTTCCCTATTGACCAATCACAGAAATTCGGTCGGTTTTCAGAGTCGGACCGGTGCCACCTGGCGCAGTCCTTTCCCCGTGCGATGGCCCCATAGCGAAGGCCATCCTCAGAGAGAGACCCTTCTTTCCCCAACTCACCTCACCCCATTCCCATCCCTTCCTGGTCCATACACCAATCTCAGAAATTCGGGCGCTTCTCCGAGTCGGACCGGTGTCACCTGGCGCAGTCCTTCCTGCCATGCGACGGCCCCATGGTGGTGGATAAGGTGGCGTCGAGAGCATACATCGGGCAGTTCAGTGGCGACGGTGACCTGTTTGTGGCTGGCTTCCAGGTGAGGAGGAGGCGAATGTGTGTAGGTGATTGTCGAGTCGACTTAAAGTATGTGTGGGCTGTGGGGACAACCCGCCCTTGCTCATCAGCAAGGGCTGTGGGGAGGGGAGTAGATGCATGTGAGCCGCTGCCTTTGAGACTCCTCAGAAACCCTTCCACTGCCACCACTGCTTCGATCGATTTCTTAGTCGACCAAAAAATTGCCTCATGTCCCCCTCCACTACCGCCACTCAATCATAAATTCTCTCCGTTGCTTTCCCTTCTCTTCCGCGCACGATCAGGACCGTCGGATCCGCGTGTACGATGTGGATCGAGGGTGGGCATTGAGAAAGGATGTGATTGCTCGCAATCTCCGGTGGACCATCACCGACACTGCTCTCTCTCCCGACCAGCGATTCCTGGTAACCCTTCCGTTCAGTAAAGTAACCAGTTACGACAGCAGTAGTGGTATGATTGCAATGACAATCTGAGATGCTGGTTCCTGATACTGCAGTTTTTGCTCAAATAGCATGTGGTAATCCTTCCCTCCTCCCTTCCCTCCTCCACTTCCATTCGTGCATGCGTGGCTTGGCTTGAATCCCACTAGTAAGACTATGCCTCCCCTGTTTCTCGCTTCTCTTCTCTTCTCTGATGCTCCCTCGTCTTGTCTTCTCGTTCCTCTCTGCTTGTCCCCTTTCCACAGGTATATGCATCCATCACACCCATCGTGCATCTGGTTAGTGTCGGCTATGGGAGCGGGGAGGTGGACTCTTTGCAGGTAGCATCCACCCTGCTTTTCCTCTCCCGCTCACTCCTATCCCTCTCCCTTGCCGCCTCCCCCCATCCCTCCCCACAGGTCTATGCATCAATCACACCCATCGTGCATCTGGTGAACGTCGGCTATGGGAGTGGGGAAGTTGAGTCGCTTGCCAATGTCACGGTGAGCTTATCAACATGCGGTTACCGCATCACCACTCTTGGAATATCAACAATGTTCCATGTATTTTACATGCTTCACTTGTCAGTTTTGAGTTTTGTGCATATCCTGATTAATTCACATGCTCATGTGCAATATCTGGCCACTTTATGTACTCTCTACGCCTCTATATCGTTCACTCATCCCCCATCCTTTTGAGACGTCACAAAAGTCTGGCCACTTTATGTACTCTACGCCTCGATATCGTTCACCCACCCCCTACCCTCAAACCCCCCATCCCACCCCCCAGGACATTCACGAGGAGTTGAACTTCACGGCAGTGGAGTCGCGGCGCAGGGAGCGCAGCTTTGGCATCTGGTCGCTGCAATTCTCATCCGACGGTCGGGAGCTCATCGCGGGCAGCAGCGATCGCTCACTCTACGTGTTTGATCTGGAGAGGAACCAACCCATTCTCCGTGTGAAGGCGCACCAGGTAGGCTCGGGGCACATGAGTTAGGTTCGGAGAGCACCAGGTAAGTTCGTTTCGTGGCTTCCTATGAATAGCTGAATACTGGCGTCTACATTTGCATGTGACCCTTCCTTCCAAATTCCGTCAGCCATGAAGCTGGGCGAGCTGCAGTGAGGAAGTCACTTTTAGCTAAAGAAAAGCAGTAGTACTCTCTTGAATACTGGCGTCTACATTTGCATGTGACCCTTCCTTCCAAATTCCTCGGGCCCGTTTCCTCCCCTACACCAGGACGATGTGAACGCAGTGGCATTTGCGGACGAGACCTCCCAATTGATCTACTCTGGCAGTGACGATCGCATCTGCAAGGTGTGGGACCGCTGGCTCCTCGACAACACCGAGCCCATCGGCCCCTTGCGACTCCACGAGCCCTGCAGTCAGAGCTCACTGGACCGCTCTCGACCGCATCTGACTGCGTTGGAACCCTTCTTCTTCCTGTGCACTGGTCCCTCTCCCCCCTTCCCTTTTCTCCAGGATGATGTGAACGCTGTAGCATTTGCAGACGAGACCTCTCAGCTCTTCTACTCCGGCAGTGACGATCGCATCTGCAAGGTGTGGGACCGCCGCCTGCTCGACAACACCGAGCCCATCGGCCCCTTGCGCCTGCTTGACCCTGTCGGACCTCCTCCCTTCAGTCACTCTTCTGGCGGTGCTGCTGGTTCTGCTGCTGGTGGTGCTGCTGGTGCTGGCGCTGGTGCTGGTGCTGGTGCTGCTGGTGGTGCTAGTGGTGGTAGTGGCGGTGGTGGGGGGGAGAGGCAGGGGGTGGGGTGTCGGAACAAGCCGGTGGGGGTGTTGGTGGGGCACACAGAGGGCATAACGCATCTGGCTTCTAAAGGGGATGGGCGATGCTTCCTCACCAATGGCAAGGACCAGACGATGAAGCTGTGGGACATTCGAGTCATGATGGACCATGCTGCTTATGAGGAGTAAGTCTATAACGAGTTTCTATGTTTATAATGAGTTTATATCGTTATAACGAGTACATGTAAGCGTGTGTGAGTGAGCGTTCAACCAATGGCACCAATGGCAAGGACCAGACGATGAAGCTGTGGAACATTCGAGTCATGATGGACCATGCTGCTTATGAAGAGTGAGTTCATAGCGAGTACGTATTGATTTCTGTAGGGACTATCCTGGGAAGGGCATAAGAGTTGGCTCAAAACAGAAGGCTTCAGATATTTCCTCTTTGTTGTGTAAGTCATCACTCCGTTCCCCCTTCTCTCCCCCGTTCCCCCGTGTGTTTGCTCCAGTCTCCCCCCTCCCCGCATCCCCTTCTTCCAGTGGGACTATCGCTGAATGGACTATCCCGGGGAGGGAATGCGGCGCGAGTTGGCTCAGTCTCTTTGTCTCTCTGCCTCTGCTTCTGTCCATGTCCCTCTCTCTGTCCCTCTCTCTGTCCCTCTGCAGTCTCCCCCCTCCCCGAATCCCCTTCTTCCAGTGGGACTATCGATGGATGGACTATCCCGGGAGGGACATGAGGGTGGCGCATCCCAGCGACCAGTCGCTCATGACCTACCGCAACCACCACGTGCTGCAGACGCTCATCCGCTGCTACTTCTCTCCTCTGCACTCCACGGCCCAGCGATTCGTGTATTCCGGGTCGCACGACGGTGCTGTGTACATCTTTGACCTGGTGAGTTGCTGTGTACATCTTTGACCTGGTGAGTGCACATCGTGTAAAGGGAAGGGGGGTGTGTGAGCTGGTATGCGGTGCTGCAGACCTTCATTCGCTGCTACTTCTCTCCTCTGCACTCCACGGCTCAACGATTCGTGTACTCTGGGTCACACGATGGCGCTGTGTATATCTTTGACCTGGTGAGTGCGCTGATAGGGGAAAGGGTGTGTGAGCTGGTATGGGGTGCTGCAGACACTCATCCGCTGCTACTGCATTACCCTGGCATGGAGCTCTGCACTGCAACCAACCACCATGTGCTGCAGACACTCATCCGCTGCTACTTCTCTCCTCTGCACTCCACGGCTGAGCGATTCGAGTGTTCCAGCTCGCACGATGGAGCCGTGTATATCTTTGACCTCGTATGTGTGTGGTACAGAGTGGTTGGGTAGAGTATATTATGCTACACATGGGGTCGCACGACGGGGCCGTGTACATCTTTGACCTGGTATGTGTGTGGTACAGAGTGGATGGGAGCATACATTATGTGTTGCATTAGAGAATGTGTGTGACCTGCCATGGGGCTATGCACTAATTCCCCCCTCTGCACTCCACGGCCCGTTGTCTTGCGTGACGGTGCTGTCCTTATTTTTTACAGGCAAGCAGGTAGCGAAGTTGAAGCATCATCGGTCGACAGTCAGGGACTGCTGCTGGCACCCCACACGGCCAGCAGTTGCGGTGACTCTTTGCACCTGCCAACCCACCCATCCCCTCCTCTCCCCGTCTCGTCTGCACGCTCCCCTCCCTCCCCTCCGTCTCCCCCTTCATTCTCCCAGCTGACCGGCAAGCAGGTAGCAAAGCTGAAGCACCACGGGTCAACGGTCAGGGACTGCTCCTGGCACCCCACCCGGCCAGCTCTGGCGTCGGTGGGGTGGGATGGCAAGGTGCCCCTCTGGGAGAGCTTTCACGGGGAGACTCAATTGGTCGTCTGCCAACCCACCTGTTCGTCCCCCTGGTCCCCTTCCCATTCACCCAGCTCACAGGCAAGCAGGTGGCAAAGCTGAAGCACCACGGGTCGACGGTCAGGGACTGCTCCTGGCACCCCACCCGGCCAGCACTGGCGTCAGTGGGGTGGGACGGCAAGGTGGCTGTGTGGGAGAGCTTTCACGGGGAGACGCCCCCTGAGTGCAAGAAGATGCGGCAGATTCCCGTCACGAACCATGAGGAATTATTTGATGAGTAGAGCTGGGGGCAGGAGTGAGAGGAGGAAGAGGAAGGGGGCAAGGGAGGTGGCACTGGGATGAAGCACTGCAGGGGAAGGGGGCACTGGCGTCGGTGGGGTGGGACGGCAAGGTGGCTGTGTGGGAGAGCTTTCACGGGGAGACGCCCCCTGAATGCAAGAAGATGCGGCAGATCCCCGTGACTAATCATGAGGATATATTTGACGACTGAAGGTGGCTTGCGAGGGATGGCAGCAGAGGACGAGGGAAGCGGGTGGGACGGGAAGGTGGCTGTGTGGGAGAGCTTTCATGGGGAGACGCCTCCTGAGTGCAAGAAGATGCGACATATCCCCGTCACGAACCATGAGGAATTATTTGATGAGTAGAGGGAGGGTGGGGGGTATGGGAGGGGGAGAGTGAGGAAGGGGGTTGTGGAGGGATATACCCCTCCATTTGGTGTGTAATATAGCAAGGCACACTCCCCCCATTGCTCATGGGGATAGCTGTGGCAACAGAGGAGGTTGGGGAGGTGAAGAGGGGGAGAGGAGAAGAGGCGTGGGGGAGAGGAGGAGAGGAGGTGGTGGGGAAGGGGCATTGGTGCTGGTTGGTGGGGTGGGGAATGTTCCTCCTATTGTGTAAGAAAGTCTCCCTTCCCGCTTTTCCCTCCCCTCCCTAGCCCCCTCCCTTTCCCAATTTCTCCCTCGTTTCCTGCCCCAATACCCCCAGCTGCCGGTCTCCCTCCCTTTCCCCCTTCCCCTTCCCCATTCCCCCTTCTTCTCCCTCCATCTTCTTGAACCCCTCTGCCTGTTTCTCTCCACCCGATACTGTCTTCCTGCTCTTCGATAAAGGATGCCAACGGTGATATGATAGTGAGGTGATGGTCCGATTGATGGTAGTGGTGTGCAGGAGCAATCTTGTGTTTCTTAGGGTGTTTCCCATGCCTGTCCCTCTGTGTCACGCTGTGAAATGTGCATATGACTGCCATGTTTTCCATGTTCTCTCAACATTTGAATACAGATGAAGGTGTGTACAAATCAGCTTACTAGCAATGTCGTCGGGGCTTGATGGATAATAATACAGTAGAGAGTTCTTGACCAGGAAGGGTGTAGTGATTTGACACTGGCCTGCTTTTACTACCTGTACTAGGGATGTATTCAAACAAACAATCAGAGCAAGCAGACACTGGATGATACACCAGCTACACCAAAGCATGCACAAACAAATCGACCTGCCTTACACCATATCAGGATACGAACGATTCAGCTACATGATGAAACAAACAAAACTAGTGGGTCCCTCCGCTAGAGTGTGAGCCAAGGCTCTTATTCCCCAGCCTGGGAGCATGCAATTCATGTGCGCAGGCAAGGCAGGCTACTCTGCTGTGAATGCGGCGAAGGTGGGGAAGGTCAGAGATGGCAGTGAAGCTGGGCTGGTGAAAGGAGAGGTTGGTAGGAAGGAGTGTGCATGCATGCATGTTTGTGTCCGGGTGGGTGGGTGGGTGGGTGGGTGGGTGGGTGGGTGGGTGGGTGGGTGGGTGGGTGGGCTACTCTGCTGTGAGTCTGGCGAAGGCAGGGAAGGTCGGAGATGGCAGTGAAGATGGGCTGGTGAAGGAAGGTTGGTTGAAAGGAGTGTGCATGCAATGCATGTGTATGTCTGGGTGGGTGGGTGGATGGGTGGGCTACTCTGCTGTGAGTCTGGCGAAGGCGGGAAGGTCAGAGATGGCAGTGAAGCTGGGCTGGCACATATGGCGTTCCAGCTCTGCTCGTGTGGCTTGCATGACCACCTGAGTGAGGGGAGGGGGTGGCGAGAGAGGGGGGGAATGGGCGGAGAGAGTGAGAACAGAAGCTGGGCTGGCACATATGTCACTCGAGCTCTGCTCGTGTGGCTTGCATAAACACCTGGGTGGCGATGAGTGAGAAGGACAGTGGGGAGGGAATGGAAACAATGATTGGGAGACACTCAATCCAGTTGATTCGTATTCCAAATTGACTTGCATGACTCAAATTGTCTCGCATGACTCAGATTGACTCACATGACTCACATTCAACTCCATGTACGACGCTTTGAGCTCCAGCCAGTTAGCGTCCAACATCTCAAACGTGACACAGTAGAGATGAACACAAGGGTAGTGCATGTTCGTGTGCACGTGCATGTACATGTGGTTGACTCACATTGAAAACAAACTGTGGTTGACTTCCATTGACTCACATTGAATTCCATGTACGACGCCTTGAGCTCCAGCCAGTTAGCGTCCAGCATCTCAAACGTGACACAGTAGAGATCCTCAAACGCTGTTGGGTGCTCTGGCAGGATCTTCAGAAAGGCCCGTCCAGCTACTGTTGCGGGGATGTCTGGAGAAACAATGAGAAAGGAGAGAATGTACAAGGGAAAGGGAAACAGAGATTGCGAGGAGAACGACCCATTCAGCATCTGACGCCGACAGGTGCTCCGATAAACTGTTCAGAAAGGCCTGTCTGGCCACTGTTGCAGGGATATCTGAAAAGAGATTGGAAGGAGGAGCACATACAAGGGGAAGGGGAACAAAGATGGGAATGGCCCATCCAGCACATCAAACGTCACACAGAGGAGATTCACAAATGTGAAGGATGTGAGGGATTGGAGGATGGGAGGGGTGTGAGGGAGGGATGAGATTGCCTGTCTTCTTGGACAGGCAGGGACGACTGGCATTCTTTCCAGACCCGGACGCTCACCCTTGCGCAAGTCGAGGATGCTTATAAGGAGTACGGTGATGTTCACCCCTGCTGCTCCAAAGGGGTACTCCCACTCAACCCGGCGACCCTCCTGCTTGTACATGATGCGCTGAAACGACCTCTGCATTCAGGCACAGAAAGGGCAAGCAGAAAACATGTGTAGAGGAAAAAAAAATCTCAAGATATTTCAGAATCCTCCTGCCTGTGCATGATGCGCTGGAACCACCTCGGCAGCCAGACACAGAAAGAACAAGGAAAAAATACGTTTGCTTGAGAATTCATGCTTCCGTAACTCCAAAACATCTTCTCACCCTACCCCTCCCTTCCCCCCCTCCCTTCCCCCCCTCCCTTCCCCCGCTCCCTTTCCCCGCTCCCTTCCCCCCCTCCCTTTCCCCGCTCCCTTCCCCTCCTCCCTCCCCAAACGTACTGGGTACGTGCGAGCATAGTACACCAAATTCTCCAGCGCGAAAAATCCCCCGCCCCTGAAATCCGAGGCTGGGTTCTTCCCCTGCCACCCCATCTCCTTCCACCCCGCCACCTCCACCTCCTCAGTCAACACCCGCCCCGGATACGCCTGCTCCCACAGCTCCACTAGCGCCAATCTATGTTCCTCCTTGTCGTTTTCAAAGGGCGGCTGTATCCTCGTTTGTAGCTGCTTCAGGCACCGCTCCTGGGGCTCGGAGAGGGTGATGGGGGGGAGGGCGGGGACTCCCCCGCGCAACTGCGGGGGGCCTCCGCGGGAGGGTGCGCGCGCGTGCGGGGGGAGCAGCAGCGTGGAGGCAAAAGAGCCGCCCAGAGCAAGAACTTTGGTGCGCGCACCCGCCATGAGCTGGCCTGGTGGCAGGGGAGGAGGGAGAGATGGGGGAAGAGTAGTGGGGTAAGGGAGTGAGTCAGGGGAAGAAGGGGGATAGAACGATCAATCTTATCTTGGGTACAACCTCCTTAGAAGTAAACAACATTTGCTTGTATCATTTCAAAACTCTTTGAAGCAGTAGAAAAGGGAAAAAGAGAATGATAATACTAGACCCACCTAGCCATGAGGCCCATTGAAAGACGAATGATCCGAGAAGGTGCTGCCACACTCTCGAGCCGACTTCCCCTGGCCTTGGAGATCCTGGCGACTGCACGGAATAATGAAAATGTCCGTGAGAGGAACGGATTTTATAATATATTTCTGTCAAAAGGACGAATCAACCAGAAAGTCCTTCCAAAAGAACGGAGGGAATGGAAGGACGTCCGTCACGACTAAAGGAATCACGAGCCGGACAGAAAGGCTGAGAACACGCGGGTGTAATCGCTAGCTGAGGCGGCCTAATGACGATGTAATGTAAGATGTTCATTTGTGGAGGAAGGTACAAAGGAGGTATAGACGACGGCTATTAGACGAAGTCAAGAAAATGTTATAAAGTCCAAAATTATGATTATGCCGTATCCCATCTGCACAAAAACATGATAACGTCAGCATGAATGTTAATGGTCCTCACTGGTTATTTCCAATTTCACGTTCATGGCTCTATAAAGCATCAACGACTGGCCCACCTTCGCGTCGGCATTTGGGCTGGCGACACCATTCGCGGGATTCGCACAGGTCGTAGACGTCGCAGGCGGATCGCGTCGGTCGTCATCGTCGTCGTGTCGGTCGTCGCATGACAGTAGCGGTTCTTGAAGGGTGGATCGCACTGCGTTGCCTTCGTTGCTGACTCGACGTCTAATCACGGCTGATTGAGGCATGACCGATACAATCTACAACCAAATTTAGATTCTAACGTACAGAGGGATTCGATCTATGATGGATTACCCTACCCTATTATTGTGAGCCGGCTTCCGTAACAGTATTATATCTGTCCTACCTGATGAAAGGCAGAATCGAGGCCGAAAATACGAGCAATCAGGAGGAGGTGAAGCGGACTCACTTTCGAGGAAGCCTACCACAACACAGCAGATATTAAGGACACGAACAGCGAGCCTGAGGCGGCGACGTCGACTGACAAAAGAGCAAATTTACCATTGGGAGACTTCAGTGACACATCAACCGAACGCTAGAGTAGTATGAAGTGAATGAACAAGGACAATGGAGCCACGCTAGCTCATCATAAGGCTAAGATAACGAGCGTTGAACACTGATAATGGCTGCACAGACAGACACTATCAGCCTGCTGATAATGAGCATTCAGGCTAGAGCTCATAACAAGCATTCAGTCGTTTCCCTAGAGAACTCCCTGACACAATGCTGCTGCCTGCCTGACTCTGTGACAGACTGAAAATGGAAGAGATAACTCCGTCCAGCAGCACCCTTTGGAGTGGTCGGTCAGTGGTCCTCACTGCTAACTGAGAACGTCGATTCCGTCCGTGCCCCGTCGTTCGCATTTCCTACGTCCAACGCATCCATCCCTCTGCTTCCGTTTACTGGCGGTTGGCATGGAAACGGGAAACTGCGGCTCCGTCTGGAAGTGTGTCAGCCAGCCGACAGTTGGGTGGGGCAAGGCCCAATCAGAGCAGAGCGCGCGAGTGAGCACGCAACCTCGCCTTGTGCTCAACTTCCCACGAGTCGGTACACTTTCACGTTCAGCACAATATGAATATGATGGCACAGATCACCTGCTTCAAGGAATTATTATTGCAGCCACTTTCATAATACTTCGTACATATCAAGCATTGTCAGCATACCGTGGCAAGGATGGATACAACAGGCTGGAATTGTCTACCCCTTGATAGATTTTGTTCTCATCCATCCCTTCGCACGCAGCGAAGGAGACTTGTGGGGGACCAGGGACTCCATCAGCTTCCTAACTCTATGGTGCTTCGCTGTGTCATGAACAGCAGCAGGAGATGCCTCATCCTCAATCTGCAAAAGAAGAAAAAGCATACGTAACAAACATGTTAAGTATAGATCCAAGGACAGCAAACAAGGCAAGCACACGACGATTATATGACACCATACCTTCACAACTTTCTTTTGGAAGCAAGAAAAGTCCCTTCTTCTCAGGGCAGACCGAAGCATCTGCCGGGCTGCCCGCCCGAAGCTCTCCTCCGCTTCCCGAGCCAAAGCCGACAGGGCAGGCTGCACCTCAGCCGCCAGGTCCGGCCGAAGCTCCGCCTGTCCCGAAGCACAGCGCAGAGCCAGCAGCACCACCACAGATGCAATCTCAACCGGCCATTCCCCTGCTGTCACGTCCAGTCGGCTCAAAAACACGTCTACAGCTTCAGCCAGGTTGAACCCGCAGGTAACACCTCCCCCAGAAACCCCTCCCTCGGCCACCCCCCCTGCTGATTCCCCAGCTGATTCTGGCCTGTGCCTATCCAACCCACCCCCACCACCTGCCCCGGAACCTCCTGCTGCAGTCGGGTGCGAGTGCATGAGGGAGTGGATGAGTGACGGGCTGGTGATGCCGGTTACCAGCTGTAACACCACAATGCCGTACGCATGCACATCGTCACTTAGTACGCCCGTGCTGCTGCTGCCATGCTGGCACGGACCCTCCACTCCCACTGCTGTGCTGCTGCTGGGGTTAGAATAAGAAGCAGAGGCAGAATAACTATTCCCTGGGCTGCCAAAGAAGGGAGATGAAGAGAAAGAGAGGCCAGCGCCGCTGAGTTTACACGCGGAGTTACGGTCCAGAAGCACGTTCTGTAGAGTCACGGCGCCGTGCAGCACAGGCGGCGAGTGCTGGTGCATGAACAGCAGCGCGCCTGCCAGCTCAGAGGCCAGTCGAAGCCGGTCCACCCAGGAGAGCCATATTGCCTCTAGCTCCTCCTCCTCCTCCTCTCCGAAGGTAATGCCCCGCTCTCCGCTAGGAGAAGCAGCAGCACCGTCCCCTGCACCGCTGCTGCTGTTACCAGCACCCTCCTCTGCTGCAGTAACACCACCACCACCACCAGAACCACCACCACCATCACCAGCGGCAGCAGCGGTGGCAGCGGCAATAAGGGAGTGGATGCGGGAGAGGCAGGAAGAGAGGCTGCCTCCAGGAGCGAACTCATAGACCAGACAGGGGTACTCGGGGCAGTGACCCATGAGCAGCAGCAGGTGTGGGTGCCTGAGACGCCTTAACACGTCCACTGCTGCTTGCACCGCTGCTTGTACTCTCTCTCGGGACACCTGACCCCCCTCTGTGGACGGATCAAGGAGACCGGAGGAACCAAATGAACCAAACGCACCCGATGAGGCAACAGCAGCACCATCTGCTTCCACCACCCGCTCCTCCTCCTGCTTTCCCCCTCCCCCTGCTCCATCTTTTGCAGTCCTCTCATTCTTGTCTGTCCTTCCTGAAGCCTCCTCGTGCACAGTCAGCAGTTTGATCGCCACCTGGCATCCGAATATCTCCCCCCGGTAACTCGGCCCGAGCCTGCCTCGGCCAATCAGCTGCGAGGGCGAGAACCCCCCCGTGGCTCGGAGAATCTGGTCCGGGGGAAAGCGGTGGCAGTCCGCCGAGTCTACCCGGCTGGTTTGGAATCCGGCTTGGGAGGACGAGGACGAGAACGAGGAGGAAGGGAGCGGGATAGGGAAAGATTGCTGGTCACTACCCCCTATTCCGGGATTACTGCTGCTGCTGCTGTTGGCAGGGCTGGCAGCACCACACGACCCACCATCTCTTGACCCTTCTCTTGCTGCCACCGCTGCAGCATTCCCTGCTGCCGCTGCAACCTCTGCTGCAACTGCAACTGCCTCGACACCTACCCCCATCTCCCCCTCACTCCCCATGCTCCTCCTGCCAGACACCCACAGCTTCTTCCCCACCACCACAGGTTGCTGTGGGACTGCTGGGGACCCCTCTCCCTTCAAGCCTTTCTCAGGGTGATTTCCCCCTTGCTCCAATCCACCCTTCGAAATCCCTCTTCCGCTCTCTCTTTCTGCCTTGCTTCCTCCTTCTCTCCCTCCTTTTCTCCCTCCCCCTATTGCTTGCTCGTGGGATACAGTCCTTGCTACCTTCATTCCTCCGGTCCCTCTACCCCCCACTGGGCCTGTGAGCGGGGTTACGTTCGGCGACGGCGAGCCTACCGAAGCTGCTCCCGAGCCTGCCGCCGAACCTCCTACAGAGGCTGAGGTTGGGGCGATACGAGGAACGATGAGTAGGCTCGTGTCGATTCCCTCAAACTCGTTTCCCTTCACGTGGAAATCCTCGCTCCCCTGGTGCGAATGCCACCCGGACCCGGACTGCCCACCTGAAAACCCACCTGAAAAACCACCTGAGAAACCACCTGAACGTCCACCTGAGCCCTTGGCAGCTTGCATATCAGAGTGAATCGCGGACAACCCAGCAGCCACACTCTCCAGCCCCTTCCACAGGGGAGACTTATCCCCATGCGATCTCTCCCCATGCGCCTTCTCCCCCTGCCCCGTCCCCTTGCCATAACCCCCCTGTCCGCTCTGTCCCCCCTTGCTGCTGCTGCTGCTGCTGGTGCTGGCGGTGCCACTGACAGAGGAGGAGGAGGGGAAGAAGCCTCGGCCCCTGGTGGGGTGGGGAGGGGGGGTGCCCTGGGGGGTGATGGAGGCAGAGGAGGAGGAGCCGCCTGAGTGGATGCGCGTGTGGTGGGCCGTCCCCTGCTGCCGCTGCTCATCCTGCTTCTCCTGCTGATCCTGCTGCTGCAGCCCCTGCTTCTGCTGCCCCTGCTGCTGCCCCTGCTGCTGCTGCCCGCCTGTCAGAGCAGGGTGCACGGGGGACGGTTTGTGCTGCTCGACCAGAATCTTCTGCAGGCCGGTGAACTGCTGCCGCATCTGCTGCTGCAGCCGCACCATGCGCTGCCGGTCCGCCTCTGATACCGGCCCACTGTTCGACCCTGCTCCTGCTCCAGCCGCCGCTGCTGCTGCTGCTGATACTGCTCCTGCTCTCTCCCCTGCCGCACCCGCCTCGTCTCCCATGCCCCCTCCTCTCCTCCCAACCCCTCCTGCTCCTGCTCCTGCTGCTCCTGCTCCTGCTCCTGGTCCCCCTCGTCCTCCAGGGGTTAACGCCCCAGGGCTGGTTCCAGGGAGAGAGAAGCCTCTGGGGGAGGCCAGAGGGACGAGTGTGTTCGGGTTGTCTTGGCTAGCCGCCCGGCCGAACCTCACGTTACTGTTCATTGTGTTGCTGTTCCCGGCATACGGCCCAAAAGCACCTGAGGATTCACCTGGGGTTCGCCCGTCTCTGCTGGAGGCGCTGAGGCAGCCAGGGCTGGGGGTGGGAGCGCGGGACGGGTGGGGGGAGGTGCTATCTGGGACGATGATTCGCAGCGGACGGAATTTTCGCTGCCCGACGGGCAGGTTCTGCTGCTGGTCGGGCAGATGCTGCGACTGCTGCTGCTGCTGTTGCTGCTGCTGCTGCTGCTGTTGTTGCTGTTGTTGTTTCTGCTGCTGCAGCAACTGAAGCTGCTTCAGCACCTGCTGCTGATGCTGCTCCTCATGCACTGTCGACGGCGTTGGCAGCAGCACCGCTGGCACCCCAGCACCAGCAGCAACACCCCCACCACCACCACCACGACCAGCACCAACACCACCAGCAGCACCAGCAGCACCAGCAGCACCAGCAGCACCAGCACCAAAGCCAACGCTACCAGCAGCAGGCACCCCACCAGGACTTCCCAAGGCGGCTGCAGCACTCCCTGCGCGCACGCGACCCGCCACCTCAGCTCTATCCCACAGAGACACAATGCGCTGCTGCCCGATGGCCACCCGCTGCAGCTCTGCCTCCCAGTCTGCTATTGTGAAGGAGGACTTGGGCCGACACACCGCATCGTACCCATCGTCATCATCGTCGTCGTCCTCATCATCCTCGCCCTCGTTATAGTCGTCCTCGTTATAGTCGTTGTCGTTGTCACTTTCAGCGTCGTTTTCTCCGCCGTCATTGTCGTAACAGTGTTCATCAGCAGGATAGCCAGCAGCAGCAGCGGCGGTGGCGGCGGCGGCGGTGGCAGCAGGAGCATGAGCCGCAGAGGAGGAGGAAGAACCAGAGGAGCCAGCTTTGCGTGAAGCGGGAGTGGCAGAAGAAGACGAGGAATGCGAGTCGGGAAAGTGAGGTGATGCCGATGCGGCAGGGGCGGCAGGATTTGGACTGGAGGGGCTGCCTTTGCGTGGTTTGGACTTGCGTGAGCGTTTGGAGGAGGAGGAGGAGGAAGAGCCTGGTTGGCCCACCACTAGCATGCATCCGGGAGGCAGGCGGCGGAGCAAGGGGTGTGTGGATTGAGTGAGAAGGCGGAAGACAAACCTGGGGGGGGGGAGAAGGGAAGGAAATGGGGAGAGAAAGGGAGAAAATAAGAGAAGCGAGGGGAGACAAAGGGGGGGCGGGAGGCAGGCGGCGGAGCAAGGGGTGTGTGGATTGAGTGAGAAGGCGGAAGACAAACCTGGGGGGGGGAGAAGGGGGAGGAGGGTTGGGAGAGGAGGAGAAATGGGGGAGGAGTTTGATACTGATTGATTGCCGTGCCACGAGCCTGGTTGCCTTGCTGCATTCAGGGGGTAGACAAGGCACAACAAAGCAACCAGCTCACCTCGTCGTCCTTCCACCCACCCACTTCCCTTGCTGCTTCCACCCACCTCATATTCCCCACGTATAATCTCTCTGCTGCAGTGGCCCGCACGGCCTGGCAGAGAGCCTTCACGGGACACTCGTGCACTCACCCACCCACCTCCTGTTCCCCACATATAATCTCTCTGCTGCAGTGGCCTGCACGTCCTGGCACAGAGCCTCGTCCCTGCGCTACCCCCACTCCACGTGCACGCGCACAGGCACCCCCTTGATCCCCACACACACGCACCCACCTCTTGTTCCACACACACGCACCCGCTTGATCCCTCCGCACCCACCTCTTGTTCCCCACGTATAGGCGCTCTGCTGCAGTTGCCCGCACGGCCTGGCACAGAGCCTCGTCCCTGCGCTGCCCCCACTCCACGTGCACGCGCACAGGCACCCCCTTGATCCCCACACACACGCACCCCCTTGATCCCCACACACACGCACCCTCTCCACGTGCACTCGCACAGGCATCCCCCCACACACACGCACCCGCTTGATCCCCACCCACCCACCTCTTGTTCCCCACGTATAGGCGCTCAGCTGCAGTGGCCCGCACAGCCTGGCAGAGCGCCTCGTCCCTCCGCTGCCCCCACTCCACGTGCACGCGCGCAGGCACGCGCGCCTGCCCGCATTGCGCCAGCAGCGGCTGCAGCAGCGCCTGCAGTACAGGGGACACCCCCTCGCTGCTGCCCCCGCTGCTCTTCTGCTGGAGGGCCGCGCCCACTGAGGAGAGGGGGAAAGGGCAGGAGGGAAGCAGGGATAAAGAGAGGGTGTTTCAGTAGAGCATTTTACTGCCACTGCTTCCACTCGCAAGCGCACAGGCACCCGCGCCTGCCCACATTGACCCAAGGAGCACCCCTTGGTGGTGGGAGACATTACAGGAGTTCTAAACACAAATGGTGCTCCCTAGCGCACAGGCACCCGCGCCTGCCCGCATTGTTTCAGCAGCGCCTGCAGCACTTAGGACAACTCTCCCTCGCTGCTGCCTTTCTGCTGGAGTACCGCACCCACTGGGCCCAGGGGAGACACGCACGGGGAAAGGGGGGGGAGAGGCAGGGGGAGCAGAGAAGAAAAGAGGTGTGTCAGTAAGGCCTTGTCACGCCAGTGCTGCTGCTGTCCCCTCGTTCGGCCTCCGCTGCTGGCCCCACTCCACGTGCACACGCACAGGCACTCGCGCGCGCCTTCCCACACTGCTCCAACAGCGGCTGTAGCACGAGATAGGAAATGCAGGAGAACGCGGAGGCAGTGAAAAAAAGAAATATCACTTGACCTCGCCTAAGGCCCACCAAACACACGCTGTACTACTACAGATACCTATACACAGGAGGGTTTAGGGCAACACTACTCACAAACGCGGAGCTCTTTATCCGCCACAAAGCACAGCACAATCTCGTCCAACCCTAAACTCCATTCCAGCCCGCCCTATTGTAACGAGTTTTGAGACGTCACAAACGCCTGTACACACGAGGGATTAGGGCAGCAGTACTTACAAATGCCGAGCCCTTCTCCCGCCACGAAGCACAGCACTACCTCAATCCCCGGACTCGACTCCAACCCCGCTTTGCATCTTCCTCCCCCTGCACCTCTTCCTTCTTGACTCGGCTCCACCTCTCCTCCTCCTCCTCCTCCTCCTCCTCCTCCTCCTCCTCCTCCTCCTCCTCCTCTTCTCTCTTCCCCGTCCGTGTCTCTATCACCAGAAACCCCCTCTCGTCCTTTCTCCGCAGCTTCCTTCTCCAGCTGCTTCTGCCGGTCGTGTAACGCTAACGTTAACAGAGCACCGTTAAGTTCCATGTTCTTGACGGAGTTCGCTTCCACCATCCAGAGCCTCGGCGGAGAGAGTCCGGTTCGGTCGGTAGCGGATGACGCCATGTTTCCGTGATAAACAACTAGCCTTTGAAACACCCTAGACCAGCCCTTGAAACGCGTTTCTTTCAAGGCGCCAAGCCTTCAACACAAGTCTCAACAGCGCGAGAGACAACAGACGCGGTGTTGCTCGAGTTTGGTTCCACTACCTTATTACATGCTCTTGTCCTAACGGAGTCTTGCTGGGTCAGACGTCGCGAAGACTATCAAGAAGCCCTAAGCTGCTCGCCGCCAGCGAGTAAGATTGTTAGTCTGGGAGCTGGACGCTGGTCGGCATCGGTGAAGTGATGAACGTTGAATTGCAGTCGAGGTCAGACTACCCTAAGCTGCTCGCAGTGCAGAACGGCTTGAGTACTATTTGAAAGCAACGTTCTCGGACTACTGCGATAAATAAAATGATGACGGAATTGGCTTAGGCAGCTTAGCCCTCAGCTATCTAGCTTCGCGGGATGTGAAGTTTGAAATTTCGAACAGCGCCAAGAATGTAGGGAAGGGAAGAGAATGAACGTTGACCAGGGTCATCGAGGAAGAGACCAGTCAGTTACGTTACGGCAGCAAGCTGAGGGACCACGTAAGCAGCCACGAGGGGGACGTGTGAGGTACGGACAAATGCAGCTTATGCTCGTCGTGTCTCCTGACTCGTGGTCAGCCACATGGAAGTGGCATGGATTGCGTTCTTCTGGAAGCTATGAAAATAGAAAAGAAACGCTTCTGTGTGGACTTAGGAGTCGGGTCAGTCGGGACTGGCTGGACTTGCAGCATTGTGGAGGTACAGTGAGGTAAAATCGGAAACGGAGGGGTTGTGAAATGCGAAGAGTACGGTTTTGAAGGCAAAAAGAGCGGGTGATTGCGGTACATTACGGTGCGTTCAGCGACAAGCACCTCAGGACAGCATGGCTGTTACGATGTTAGCGTGACGGTTAGCTTCACGGCATCGTAACGGCGATGACGAAATGGACGGCATGGATGAACCCGTTGTCTCGAGCGTGATGTAACGAGCGCCCTCGACATTCTCGAAGTCGTGTTTCCTGCGCTGGACGAAGCCGCAGTCAGTTGCCGAAATGCAGTTCGAGAAAAAATGTATTCCAGACCTAGGACGAAATTGAGCAACATCTCTGATAGTCACAAATTACCGAGGTTACTAATAGCGGAGTAATCCTTCATATTCGAGCCGCTTTTACCAGCCAACCAATGAAAGGTGTTGATCCAACTATTGAAAGCCGTTGAGCTGGGCAACTAATTACAGTGACTGAAATTAACGAACGAGATTCTCCGATCATTTGAATGGGAAAGCCACGTCACTTGGCGGTGAGCGCGTGTGTGTGGTTTGAAGCAGGCTGATCCAACTGAAATGCCAGAATGGCTTATCCGTGTCGTGAGCTGTTCTGGCGAACTGTGCTAAGTTCGTCTGCTCAATACCTTACTCAACCGTTTGGAAAGAGTATTCCAGCTCTTTGTATCGCAAGTAATGCAGAGTCACTTCCTTCCCAATTTGTCGGAGTATCACTACTCTGTTCTTCGAGGACAGGACTTCCACCTTGGCGGGAAGGCTAATTAGCTATTTATCCATGAGTTTTGGAATCATTGTGCCTGTTACTATCAGGTCTCTTAGCTATTTATTGGCATCCATCACGATCAGAAAAAATAGAACGATTTCCTGATCGCGTCGTAGGATAACGGTGGCGTGACGCTGACTCGAAGCACCTACTTCTGTTGTTTAGCCCGCGAATCAGCGGAAACGGCGATTGATGCTCTGGGCTAGTGAAAGCGCCATGGCGACACAACTGTCCAGGTTCTCATACCGTTTAAGTATGAAAAGCACAACACGGCCTCCGTCATTTACGAGCAGAAGCGAAAGTTTACGCTTAGCGAAATATGGGGTAACCTCCACATGGAAGCCAGGTGTAACCATCAAGTCAGTGGTAACCGTAACGAACCAAACACAACGTTCTGCCAGTAACAATGTACCGAGCCGTCTGACGCGGGGGGTAATCTCTTCTATAACCCCAGCATCATCGTCATCAGCAGCGTGTAACCCCCGAGGCTTCGGATGCTATGTCGGACACAGAAAAGCTTGTCGGAGATTTCTTAAAGCCACTCTACGAATTCCGGGTGCTGCGATCGGCAGTGGGGCGGGACTGGTGGATGAGGCGGAGACGAGAGGAGAGGCGGAAGCAGGAGGCGGAGGATCGGGGGAAGCAGCACGCGGGGAATCGGGGGAAGCGACTGAAGCAGGGAAGGCAAGCGGAGAGGAGTCTGGGAATGGTGAGGAGCGGAGAGCGAAAAGTGGCGGAGATTTGCCAACGGATGCTATGAGCACTCGCGGGAGTTCTGGGAGATCGAGCGAGGGAAGAAGGGGAAGGAGCGAAACGGGCTTGGACGAGAGAATGCAGAATGCGGACGGCGAGACGGAAATGAAACGCGAAGAGAGAGCGCTCGCGAGATTTGCCAAGGGAGTTCGCGCGTTTGTTACCAGCAATTTTCTCCTCGTTGGTGAGTAGAACGTTCTGGAAGCCAGCTGTACTCACGTATGTCTCATCCGTCTCCTCCCTCCCTCTTGCTCTTTCGCCTGTGAGCAATGCATATGGTGTGACTCTTGAGGTTGGGCTTGAAGTAATGTCTCTGCAGTGAGTGTGTACGGCCCTCTTTCAGGCTATCAACGCGCCTATTAACTCTTCCTTCCTCTCCTACCCCTTCCCAGCCCACCTTTCCCCACTTTCTCCCCGTTTCCTCCCCTTTACTCTTCCCCTTTTTCCTGCTTTCCCACTTCTCCTCCCCCTTTCGCTTCTCTTTCCTCCAGCCAGTCAGCCATCTGTCGTGTTTCGAGTCGACTCTAAAGACGACTCATTTTTCGCTTCTCTTTCCTCCAGCCAGTCAGCCATCTGCACGGGAAGGGAATTGCACGGGGATCGCACAGACTGTGCGGCACCGTGCATGCTCCCATGTGTTGAACTGACTGCCTATTGGACTCACCTTCCCCGCCGTCACCCTTCCCCCACGCCTAATCAGCACTGGTTAATCACCATTGGCTGTGCTCCCTCTTCACCCTACTTCACTGCAGCATTCAGCACGGGAATCGCACTGGCTGTGCTGCACCCGACTCCCAGGCGTAGGCCGTTTCTTTCACTCTCCTTCTCAAGCTCGCCTTTCCTTTTTCGCTCCTCCCACATGCCATCCTGCTGCTCACATGCCATGCTGCTGCCCCTCCACCCCCCTTCGCTGCAGCCATCAGCACAGGAATCGCACTGGCAGTGATGCACCCTGCGCCAGGCATTTACGCTCAGTCAAAGATCGGCCTTGCGCGCTACTGCACCTTTGGCATCTTCTTTGTCTCTGGTGGGTATGTTTTGATCTTTGGGTAGGGTGGAGGTGGGGAGTGTTCAGACATTTCTGAGCATTTCTGAGCGAGCTGCACGCGTGTTCAGACATTTCTCTGGTGGGTATGTTTTGATATTTGGGTAGGGTGGAGGTGGGGAGCAGAGCAGATTCGTAGCCGTTTAAGATAAGACAAGCATGACACCTTTCGTGTCTGCCCAGTCATTCCACGTCACGTCACCTCACATGCCAAGTCATCTCACATGCCACGTCATCTCACATGCCACGTCACCTCCCATGCCACACGCACACCAGGCATAGCGTTGGACCTAGACGAGCTCCGACGGGCAGCCGGCTCGTGGCCCGCCTTCCTCTATGGCTCGGTGCGTCCCCTACAGCTTTGTTTGTTCCCTCTGAGCCTCAGCGGCCTATGAGCCGGATATGCCATGCTCTTGAGGCGCCTAAAAAGGAAAGGACCAGCCAGCTCGTGGCCCGCCTTCCTCTATGGCTCGCTGCGTCCTCCCTCCCTCTCTCTGAGCCGCCTATGAGCTGGCTATGTCACGCCCTTGTCCGGCTAATTACGTCCCACCCAACCGTTGCCTCTGCATGCATCTCATCAGTAGCATCTCTCTCTCGCCTCGCCTCGCCATGCCCATTCCGTGGCTTGCATTTCCGTTGCAGGTAAGTTTTTTTCACAATTCTCAAAAACCACCCGCAGCGTTTTACAGCACTGTTGGTAGCACTACACACACGCCTGCATTCCAAACCCCCCACACCTCCCCCCTCAACCTTCCCGCTTTTCTTCTGTTCTCGCCCCATCCATTCCCCTCCCTCCAGCTATCCACGCTCGCCATAACGCCGCTCATGGCTCTTCTTGTGCTGCGCCTGCCGCTGCTGCCGCGGGAGCTACCTACAGGTGTGCAGTGCGGTTCGGTCCGGTGAGCATCCCTTGATTTATTCATTCCGCAGGAGCTGCCTGCCTTTCCCTCATCAACACGGGCCTTGCTCTCTCTTCTCCTTGCATGCCTGCGTGGCAATGGCAACATCACAGCAGCAGCCACCCTCCCATTGCCACGAGGTGACTTTTGAGTCGACTCAAAAGTCACCTCCTCATCCCCACAGGCCTTGCTCTCTCTTCTCCTTGCATGCCTGCGTGGCAACATCACAGCAGCAGCCACCCTCCCATTGCCTCTCGCTCTCGCCCCACCCCATACCATACATCTCCCCCCTCCCACATTTCCCGTCCGTCTCCCCCATCTCCATCTCCTCCCCTCTCTAACTTCCTCCTTCCTTCCCCCTTCCATCTGCCTTGCCTCTCCCCACGGGACTTGTACTCGTCTACTGCATGCCTGGCACCATCACATCACAGCATTCCTTCCTAACGCTCCCCACTTTTGAGTCGACTCAAAAGTCACCTCCTTGCCTCTCCCCACAGGTCTCGTACTCGTCTACTGCATGCCTGGCACCATCACATCACAGCATTCCTTCCTAACGCCCCCCACCTTACGCTCTCCCTGTTTTCTCTTCCCCTCCCCCCCCCCCCCCCCCCCCCCCCCCCATTCACCTTCCCTCGTTTCCTCATCCCCACAGGTCTTGCGCTCTTCTGCTGCATGCCTGCGACCATCACAGCAGGCATCTCTCTTGCACGGGTAGGTAGGCAGAGCACGGGTAAGTCTCAAGAGAGCATGGGAGCTGGGATGGTTTTGTTGTCAAATTGGAAGGGCTTTGGAGTTGCCTCGAGAGTCATCTCTTCTGCTGCATGCCTGCGACCATAACAGCAGGCATCTCCCTTGCACGGGTAGGCACAGCATGAGAATCGGGATGGTTTAAAGGTTTCATGGAATCGGAAGGTGACAAGTTGGCATAGGCGCCGCCCTCTCTGCTGAATGCGTTACTGCCTGCCTGCCAGCCAGCCTGCCACCATCACAGGAGGCATATCCCTTGCTTGGGTTGGCACAGACGGGACATTCGGGAGTAGGGATGGTTTTAATGCAAGACTCGACTCTTCAGCAGGCCCTTCTGCAGCATACATGATACCTGCACGCTTCCCCTCAACTTGCCTTTGTCATTCACTCCACATACCCCATTCGTCCGCTCGCTCGCCCTCTCTCACCCTTCCCTCCCTCCCACCAGGCAGCGCATGCCAACACAGCACTAGCTCTCGGCCTAACTGTCGTCACCAACACCATTGGCATACTCACTGTAAGCTCTTCAGCTATAAGCCCTCCTTTCTCCCTCCCCAGCATCCCATGTCGTTTCTCACAGATGCATCTACTCCTATCAAGGCTTGTTCCGGCCAGTGGGGGTGTGTCACCAGCACTGGTGCCATTGTGTCATGCCCTGTCGACACCACCCCAGTCCCCTCCTCCTTCCTCTCTCCTCCTCATTCCACCCCCGCTTTGTCTCCTCCCTCAGATGCCTCTACTCCTGTCAAGACTCGTTCCAGCCAGTGGAGGCGTGTCAGTACCAGCAGGGCCGTTGTTACGCGGGCTGGTTACCACTCTGCTCGTTCCTCTCTTCATAGGCATGGTATGGTGTGCAGTGGTGTGGTGTGGTGTGGTATGGTGTGGTGTGGTGTGGTGTGGTGTGGTGTGGTGGGGTGTGGTGTCTTACCATGGACTATGATGCGTGTGTTCTGTCCATTCATTTTCTTTCCAAAATTTTTAGCCTTTTCACACCCGCTCGATTTTCCCTTCATCTTTTTCCCCTCCATCGGCCCCTTGCAACGCTGATTATGATATCCCCTCACAACGGGCCCATCAATCGCCTTCATAACCGAATGGACTCAGGCAGTGCGCCGAACCATCCCAGGTGCGTAACAAAGCCACTAGCTTATACCATTCTGCATCTCATCCTGCCACGTAGCCTTGGATACCTGCCTGCATTGAGGAAAATTGCTGTATTAGCGTTACATGGAGACACCGTGCTATGATTGGTTCAAGTTCCTTGCTCTGTCCTTTCACTAAAATAAGTGTTCTTGCTTCTTCTCTCTTCCCTTTCCCCGCTATTCCCTCTCTCCCATCTTTCTCCTTTCTTCCTTCTCTCCCCTCTCTCCCCTCCTTTCTCATGATCCAATCAGCTGTTGCCACGTGGGCTGATCAGCGCAAGCAGCAGCTCTCAATGGCCAACAACGCCATGCTCTCATTCGTGCGTTCTCCTTACCCCTCATTTGCGTTGTTCGTGTGGTTTTCTAGCCCTCCCTCCACTTCCTTTTCTATATGTGTTTCTGCCCACTCGATTGAACTTCCTTCTATTTCCATTCCCTTAATCGTCAGACATCCCTTGTTCTTGCCGCTTTCACCCTCCCATCTCACACAAAATTTTGAGACACACATCGATTTCTGAAACCATGAACGCGCCACAAAACTCATGCGTGTGTATTGAGGTGAGTTTTGATGCGCCTTAAAACTATTGGTCCCCTCCAGGTACCGTGGATGCAAGTCAGTTCCGCCCGGGCGGCGATTCTTCGTCTCGACATGACACAACTGCTACCCATTGCTGCTGCTGGCATGTATGTCAACTCCACATCATTGTTTACCATGGTCTGTGTGTGTCATCAGTCCGAGCACATCCCACATCCCACCCATGCAACATGCACATGCAACTAATACCCATTGCTGCTGCTTCTGGCACTGGCATGTATGTCCACTCCACATCGTTTGCCTTTGGTTGTTCTAATTGCCCCTTGAACGAATCACCCCTCCTTTTCCATTTCAAGAGGCCAATATTGTGGACGAATCTGTGAGGTTTGAGATAACTCCTTCCTCTCGCCTCTCGATCCCTCCCGACCCTTACCAACCCCTCCCGATCCCTCCGATCCTCCCCAATCCCTACCAATCCCACTCTGAGTTTCAATCAGAACCGTCCATCTGTCCTTCCTGGCGCTCAACATGGGAGTGATGGCGGCCCTGAGGCGAATCACCCCTCCCCTTCCCCTTCAAGAGGCCAACGCTGTTGATAGAGCTGTCATCATCCTCTCCAGCCAGGTAACACTACATGCATAACATGTTAAAGCATATACATTAATGCCGTACAGTTTCTGGTGAGTTTTACCTTCCTGTCACCTGTTCTTTTGAATTCTATGAGGAAAAATTGAGTTTCCTGTCACAGAATTTTCTCCAATTTCCAAGTAATGGGAATTTCGAGCAGCTCTGTGTGTGACCTACTGCCAACTCCCGTACCCTTGTGATGTTTGTCTTTCACCTTGTGGCAGAAAACCCTTCCAGTGGCTGCAACAGTGGTGGAGAAGATTGGAACGCTTATGGGCGAGCCAGCATTGGTCCTGCTGCCATGCATCCTCACCCATTTCCTCCAGGTCAGCTACCACGTGCTTATATTTCCTTTTTGTGTGCAGCCATGCTTCTATCGTGTGCGCGGGTGTATTCAATCATTTTTGGCTTGTCTGCTTTTCGTGGCCGACACTGTGTTTGGTGCGTCGTATAACGTAAGTTGGTGTCCTTCGTTGTGATTGCAGATATTTATTGACTCGCTACTAGTCAACAAATGGTTGAATGATGATAGGGAGCGTGACTTTGCCAAGCGTGCTAAGAAAATTGTGTGAAACTGTTCAATTCCTGGGGAATGTCCACCAATAATAGTTCCTGTTGTACCTGCAAGTGCTCGTCACGATTTCATCAACCCATGCATGCTGTAACAATGAATAAGGTGTGGTTATTACGAAATAGTTTCGAAGAGAGCTACAGTCTGCATAGGCAGCAGCTAATAGCGAGAATGATGCTTCGAATCATGAGTCATCACCACCCTGCTGAGTTGGAGTGGCCTGTGGTACTGAATCCAATGGACAGCTGGATGGGGCAGTCAGCCAGAAGGCCACGTAAGTAGGGCAGAAACGAATTGTGAAGGTTCGTGTTGCGTGTGGTGACACACGCCAACGCGGATCTCTGATTCCCTCCTGGTACAGTACAGTGCTGTACAGTACGGTGCAGGCTTGTGCACCTTGGTCCCCGGCGAGACCAACAGTGTGGAGAAACAGAGGGCATTCCACCGACAGGCGCGATTCGCTAGCCCCTTCAGGTTCGGAAGGTGTCCGAACCTTCAGTTAGGGGGCCTGAGGACAAGCTTGCGCCGCTCTGCGAGCAGTAGTTTTCAGGCTAGGGAGAACCGAGCCATCCAGCCTGGCAAGGCTTGGGAAGATGCGACGCGCAATGTTGAGGGGCATGTCACCCATTTCCGCGAAGGGCAGTTTTCCGCGGGAAGCTGGCGTTCAAGCCAAGGCGGAAGCCACGCGATTCCTCTCCTTGACCACGCGCCATCTTCTCAAGCAAGCACAGAGATGTCTCGCACCGTGCCGCGCCTTCCGGGTCTGTTGCGCCCCTCACCGTCTCCTCCCCTTTACCTAACCAGAGCCGAGCCAAAAATCCCCCCAAGTTCCATGGTGCCCTTGGAATCCGAACCTGTCGATCTCCGCCGCTCTTCCCCTTCCTCCCACCCTCCCCCAATCTTCCCCGCAAGAAAGACCATGTGTAAATCTCTATCGGGGTAGGGCGCATTGTATAAGAGCAGGTGCCCTCAGCATTGTTATTCGTTCGTCATCCATTAGTGGGGCTGATTTCCAAATTCTCCCGCTCACCCTCAAATTTTACTTTCCGAATTCGCTCCGACTTCAGCTGTGAGTCTTTCTTCCCTTCCTGGTTTCTCGTCGAGGGGATTCTGTCAAAATGTCGCCCCGCGTGCTTCTTCTGGCGGTGCTCATTGTGTCGGCTGCGCTTGTTTCGCGGCCTGCGCTGGCGCATCGTAGCTTCGGCGTCCTGACTCAGAACCCGCATCGCGAGGAGATGCGGCTTCTGACTGACGACAGCAGCACTGATAGTTCGTCGCACGACGACAGCAGCAGCGACAGCTCGTCACACGACGACAGCAGCAGCGACGGTTCGCACGACAACAGCAGTTTGGACGACTACCACGACGACAGTCATGACAGCAGCGACTCGTCGTCGTCGGATGACCACAGCAGCAGCGACGACAGCAGCCACGACGACAACAGCAGCGATGACAGCAGCAGCGACGACAGCAGCAGCGACGACAGCAGCAGCGACGACAGCAGCAGCGACGACAGCAGCAGCGACGACAGCAGCAGCGACGACAGCAGCAGCGACGACAGCAGCAGCGACGACAGCAGCAGCGACGACAGCAGCAGCGACAGCAGCAGCAGCAGCGACGACAGCAACAGCAACAGCAGCGACGACAGCAGCAGCAGCAGCGACAGCAGCCACGACGACAACCACTACAGCAGCACCAGCGACGGCTCGAGCAGCGGCGGCGGCCTGTCGTACAACTACTACGCGTCCACGTGCCCCAAGGCGGCGGAGATTGTCGCGGCGCGCGTGTACCAGGCGTACAAGAACGACCCCGCTGTCCCCGCGCCGCTGCTGCGCCTGCACTTCCACGACTGCTTCGTCCAGGTTCGTGCGTCGCGGTTCGTGAATGTGTGACATTTTCACGAACATCGAATATGTTGATGATTTTTTTAATTTTTTATTTTGGGTACGTTTTGCGAGATGGCGGGAGGGAATGCGGCATGTGAAACCGCCGCAACTTTCGCAAACCATTTGAAAATAATCATATGTCGATGCGAGGGTAACCCGCAGTCACGAAACTCCTGCTAGTGACTTTCGGTTGCTTTCGTATCGCATTTGTTTTCGTTGTTATTCCTTTTCAGGGCTGCGACGCCTCCGTCCTCCTGGATTTGACGGACGACAACAAGGCGGAGAAGGACGCAAATCCCAACGCCACTCTCTCTAATCATGCCTTTCATGTTTTTCTCTTCTTTTTTTTCAGGGCTGTGACGCGTCGGTGCTGCTCGATTCGACGGAGGACAACAAGGCGGAGAAGGACGCGGATCCCAACGCCACTCTCGGTGCGTTCGATGTGGTCGACGACATCAAGGACCACCTCGAGTCGGAATGCCCTGGCGTCGTGTCTTGCGCCGACATTCTCGCTCTCGCCGCTCGCGAAGGCATTCATCTGGTATGTCCTCGCACACTCTGAGAAGTTATTATTTTTTCTATTTTTCTTTCACCTTTCTTTCCGCATCATCCTCCGCAACGCCCTGCACATCCACCCTCCCCCTCTTCTCCCCCCCTCCTCCCCCCCTTCCTCCCCCTCCGCCTCCCTCCCCCCCCCCACCTTTTATTATCTCACTCATTCTAACCACCGTGTCGTCGTGTATTTTATTCCGCATTTTCGCTAATCGCAGGCCGGCGGTCCTTTCACGGAGGTGCCTCTGGGCCGTCGCGACGGGCTGACGTCATTCGCGCTCGCGGCGGAGACTTTCCTCCCGGGCTCCACGCTCAACGTCTCTGGCCTCGTCCATAACTTCAACACAGTCGGCCTCGATATGACCGACGTTGTGACTCTTAGCGGAGCTCACACTATCGGGGAGGGCCGCTGCGTGAGCCTGAAGAACCGCCTGGAGCAGGACGACCCCACGATGGACCCGGAATTCGCGGCGTACGTGAAGCAGAAGTGCGGCACGAGCAACATCGACCCCAAGGCGATGATTGACAACGACTATGCTTCGCCAAACAAATTTGACAACCAGGTAAGCAGCACGATTCGCCTGACATCTCATCTCAACTCTCGCCTCTCCTTCCCTTTCCCCCCATCCCTCGCCGGCCCCATTCCATTTCCTTCTATCCTTCGCTTCCCCCTTTCTCACCTCTTCAGCATTATGCGAACCTTCTCGCGCACACTTTCTTAACCCCTGAAAATTAAAAGACCACGCAATTTTGGTTCGCTTCTACGTCTCTCCGCCTTCGCAGTACTACAAGAACCTCCTGGCGCACAAGGGCCTGTTCACCACCGACCAGGCTCTCATTTACGACGACAAGACGGAGCGCGCAGTGAAGGCCTTCGCGCACGCCAAGAGCACGTGGTTCGACGCGTTCCCCAAGTCGCTCATGAAAATGGGCGTCATTTCGCCGCTCACCGGCACGCAGGGCGAGGTCCGCCTCAACTGCCACGTGCGCAACACCTACTAGTGGGCGCAAGAGGCGGTACCAGCGCGCAGCTTGTGGCGCATACTACGGCTGGGAGAATGGAGGTCTTGCAGGACGTTCTTGAGCAGCTGAAAATGAGGATCTTGATGGTCGTGGGTGATTCGATTTCGTAGTGGGATGCTAGAGCGTGAACTGCGGGGTCCTACAGCGTTTGGGAATTATGTAATACTCTGAGATGGAAATAAAAGGTGGCGGCTATGTATGCTTTCTTTGGAGTGCATGTCCTTGACCTTGTGCTTACGGTTGCTGCAGAACACACAGACGATGGTTTGATCCAGCTGGAATTCGAGTGTGCATGAAGGAGCAGAATTTGCCGTCGAGAGGGCCCGTTGATTTCCACAGAATTTGGAGTTATCCATCGATTCGGCGAACCGCGACCATGTTATTTGCACCGACTCGCTATTGCGTCAGCGCGCCCCAAAAGCAAATTCTCCAAATTACAACACAAGGTGCTGTACAATGTCACAGAAGCACATTCCACTAGATGGTTGCTCTAGTGCCGAAGTGCTGTTGTCTTTGTGGTGTGGTCCTATCCCATCTCAGGCTATCTGGCAGTGCCTTTGGCGTGTCAATAGGAAAGCAGCTGATGCGACAACATGATTTTTTTTCAGAGATATCATAGGGCCGAAACAATGTCATCACAACAGTAACTTTCTCCGGACTCGGATGCAACTCAAAGTGCGGACTCGTGAGAAAAGGCAACAAAAGCAACCAGGTTGCAATAAGCACACCACATACGAAGGTACAGACTTCAGTCCACTTCGGCCACCATTGAACTGCACCTGCTCGTTGATGTTGCCGACCTGATTCTATCAATCCGTTCATCCTCTGCCACCTCATCTGGGCTGTACACCCACCTGCGACGGTCCTGGCGAATGCGGGGAGTTGACTGTAGCAACGGATGGTACATACACAGACACCCACGTACACAAGGGTGAACATTTGGCAGGCATTGCATGGGCAAGTACATAGGACATGTGTTGTGACCTCTAATCGAGCAGCTGACTTGGGTGTGGTATGTGCAAGACAGATACAACATATGGAGGGATAATGAAAGATGGGCAATAGGAATGAAGAGAGCGAGAGAATGACAGCAAAACTGAGATCATGCGTTGCTACTGGACGAGAAGGGGGTAGACAGAGATAACAGAAGTAGAGAGGTGTAGTAGTTAGTGAGGCAAGGTAAGGGGATGGATGGAGAAGAGGAGGAGAGGAGAGGAGCAGAGGCTGGAATACCGTACCCTTTTAGGACCCCAGTGGGCCAATGAGCTTCTGCCACGTGGAGGATACATGTCCCACCCACTCACTGCAGAGCTGCTCTCTGAAGGCTGCTCCTTGCCCTCTGGGGGATGGAAGTAAGGGGAGAAATAGTGAGAATGAGATATAGAGAAGGAGCTTCAAGAGAGGTAAATGCGAGAGAACGGAATGCTAGAGAGAGTTATGCGAGAAAGGGAAATACGGGAGGGCGCTTGAATGAAGAATGAACATCCGATCAAGTTGTAATGACACCCTCATCACCCTGCTTCAGCGCATGCTTACCTTTCACAGCTGCCCTCATCATAAGAGGTCTTCTCACTTTCTGTAACATGCAGCAAAAGGAGGGAGGGAAGGGGCAGCAAGAAAGAGGAGGGAGGGGGAGAGAGGAGTGGGATGTGGGGCAGGACAACGGATGGAGGGAGGCTAGAGAGTCAAGACAACGGCAGAAAAGAATGGTGTCAGCAACAGCTGAACTAAGTGACGGCAGCACTGTAACGTGTGACATAATAGAGCACTTGAGGCACAACGAGGCGTTACTCACCTGTCTTGGCTTGCCACTTGCCCTTCTGCTCCTGCTCCAAGTCATGCTGCTATCCACCTCCTCCTCCCCATCATCGTCCTCCCCCTCCTCTTCTTCCTCATACTTTCCCCCCTCCCCATTCTCACCACTGCAACCGCCACCAACACAGGAGCTCTCCCAATACCCCTCAGAAGCCGACACCCAATCAGGTTGCGACACGTGGCTCGACCACGAAGCCAGGTTCCCTCGAAACGCCCTGGGTGCCCCCAACGTACTCCTCCCACCAGGCCACTCTGACACGCACTGGCTGATTCTATTGATTTTCCGAGTGGGCTTTTCCAGGAAGATATTTGAGTATTCTGCTAGCGGATCTGACGCTGTGGGGATACAGTCACTGATAATGGTAGGCTCACAACCCAGTGACGGAATGGATGGAACAGGACGGAGTGCTGAAACGTCTCTGGAACCTGGTACGGATGAGGGAATGGAGGCCGGGGACGGACTCGACGTCCTTATAGGTGCCTGGTACGGTGCAATGCCGTCAGAGAATGGACTTGTCAGTCTCTCCTTTCCTTCAGGCGCAGTCGACACATTGAAGAAGCCACGCGGCACATTAGTGCGGTTACCCGTTTCAGAAAGTGTTGCTCGGGGATTCGCCCTCAAGCCATTGCTTTCTCCAAGCACCCGTTTCTCCTGGACGAGATGCGGCTCCTGCTGACTACAGTTGAACAGACTGCCAGAGCCATCCCAAGCCGCAGAGTTGCTCGCCCCGTCCCCTCTCATTCCGTTCCCTTTAGAATCATCATTCTCTTTCCCGTCCTCGGCGTCTTTAAAAACTGGAAAATCCTTATGAAGCAGCTGCGTCCAGTGTCTTTTTTCAGCCGACTCTACGTTTTCCTGCTGATGCCCATGATGCTTTTGATGCTCCAGGTTCTTTTGATGGAGTTGTTTCTGCTGATTCTCATGATGCTCAGAACGATTCAGCATCGCAGAGCATCCAGTCTCTGAAAGAACAACGCTACTGGTTTCAGAGCATCCAGTTGGGTCCCAGCTGGATCCCATCTGTACAGGGAGGTCATCGACAGAGGCCGAGCTCGCAACTGGTTTCGTACTCGTTCCGCTTTCTCTGATTTCGTCTCCTCTCACTTCGTCTCCTCTCACTTCGTCTCCTCTCATTCCGCCTCCTCTCCGTCCGTCTGTTCTCCTTCCTTCTCCTCTTTTACGACTCCAGAACCGCCGGCCGCTGAAAATTCCTCCACTGAATCCCATACCGCTGCTGGTGCTGCTGCGCCTACTGTTTCGCTGTGAGATGTTATCCCTCTGGGATCCGCCGGTGGTGTTTTTAGCCTCAAACAATCCATCTGGGCCTTGCTCTGCAAGGGAGTCGGCGAGATTTCCAGCAGGACGCGATTTTTGCCAGGGTAACCACATGCTGAGGTTTTCGCTAAATGCAACTCGTGCGAAAACGGTGTGAGGAATGTTGGACACGCAACGCGGAATCCCAACGGCGCAGTTCGAAGACCTATAATGTCTGCTATGCTGCCATCAATAGCAGGTACGCGATGATCATAACCCTGACGCTGTTCGTGGTCGTGCGGAACTGAGTCCAGAGGGGAAGCATCGTCACTTGAGGTTGCTACGGCCACGCTTCCGCTCTAGTCACAGTTGATCGCGTATTATAAGAATTACGGCGAATTCTGAAAGAATGGTATGGTCGTCTCTGGAGCCACCATATACTTGTATCCGCAGTAGATAATCGCGCACTTTTATTAGCGAGAGAATTATTGGCAGCACTAAGCAGGAATCGCTTCTAGATTTGCACAGTAGTAGGCAGTAGTTATGGAAGCTCTGTGGGAGTAGTAATATCCTACCAGAACGCACCAGACTGACTGGTATGGGAAGAAGGGGAAGAATTTGAACAGGAGAACTCGAGGGAGGGTGAGAATGTTGGCGGGAAACACGACCGTTCTGACTGACATGCGCGAATACGCGATAGTGGGACATTACGCGGGGAAGAACATGCACTGGGTTTAGATTTGAACAATGGGCAATAACCTATTTAGATTTGAAGGCATGAAAATGGGTAGTCCTTTATTGTTCACTATAAATAGTTACAAAGCATTTTATTAGGGCCTACGAAGCGGAAAATTGACAAAGAAAGCACAATGCATATTGGAATCATTAGTTCTCAACCTCCAGGGCCAGGGCATGCATCTTTGTCAGCACAGGCACCACTTCACCAACCAAACTGGGTCTTTTACACCTCCTCATATCCGTGCACTTGGCTGCCAGCTCAGCCACCGCCTTCGCCACATCAGCAGGCCATCCGCCAGCCCCCTCATCCAAAACTTCTTCCAGCTCCTTGTTCCCTTCCACCACACCAGTCACCACGCTCAGCGCTGACGTGGCATTGCGTCCAGTCAGCAACTGCATGAGCACCACTCCCAGTGCATACACGTCAGAAGACGGGACCAGCTCCTCAGTTCTTGGATATTCCGGATCCAGAAAAACCACATCCTCCACTCTTGCCCGCCCAGTCCTCGGGTTTTGACTAAGAGCCGAGAAGCCGACGCGAGCCAGCTTGCTCACCAGTCTGCGCCCAGCGAGACTCGAACCGGAGACCTCTGCCGGTGCTGCAGCAGTTGCTGCCTTTGCCTCACCCTCCCTCTGAAACTTGGGCCACCAAGAAGGGGCCCTTTGATTGGCCCCCCTATCTTCTTCCTCCTTTCCATCCTCCTTCGGCTCGCCCTTCTCCTCCCAGAACAGGACGATGTTTGCCGGCCGGACGTCCCGATGCAGTACCGGGTGCGGCTGCTGCTGGTGCAGGAACAGCAGGGCGGCAGACACCTCATAAGCTATCCTCACCCGGACGAACCACTGGAGAGGCGGTAACCGTGCCACGCGGTTACCATACGGCAGGTGATCAGCAAGAGAGACGTGATGAATCCGGGGGTAAACCAGGCAGGGGGATTCGAGGGAATAGCCGAGGAGGGGGATGATGTGCGGGTGGGAGAGCGAGGAGAGGGTTTCAGCTTCCTTGATCAGCTGTAGCATGGGTGTGACCTTGCTGTTTTGATCCAGCAACTCTATAGTCACATCCTGTAGCGGAACACCTTCAGCAGAGTTGGGTGGTAACCGCATGGAGGCATCAACGCGACCAGAGCAGCCTTCAAGTCCCCCAGGAAGGGCAGAGAGAATGTCGTCTCGAGTGAACACCACACAGGTGGGATGTGCCGGCACTGCATCGGCATCAACAGCAGTAGCAGCAGCAGCGGCAGCACCATCAGCCACGGCAGCTACAGTGCTGTCAGCAGCAACAGCAGCCCCATCATGAGAAGCAGGAGGGTTACTCGAGCAGACAGCAGGGGCGATGATGTTACCATCCAAGCCAGAACCAGTAGCACCCGCAGCACCAGAAACACCAGCACCGGCAGCATCAGCAGCATCAGAAGAACCACCAGCACCATCAGGACCAGCACCAGCACCATCACCACCGGCCTCGAGTGCACGGCTGCATGCCTGCAGCACAGCAATCATGCCATCCGCCACACTCGACACCGAGGAACCTTCCACCAACTTGCTGAGCACACTAGGTTTCACGTCCAGTTGCTGCAAGTCCAACTCCAGCCCCTTCTTTAAAGCCTGCAGCTGACTTATCTCCCCTTCCAAATACACCTCCCCCTCTTCCTTCCCTTCCTTCCCTTCCTTCCCTCTCCACTGAAGCGCCTTCGCCTCCCCCTTCCAACGCGCTTCTTTCTTCACCTGCCCGTGCACGTCGGGGAGGTTATACTCGAACCCGACTGCCCGGAAAACCTCGATGACGGTGCTCGACATGCTTCCAGGCAGCTCGAAAGATTTCCGGCTGCTCTTTTCACAGAGGCTCATGAGCTCTCTCTTCAGCTGATTGGCCGCTTTGGTGTTCTCATCCAGTTCGCTGCCGTCAATCGAGAACATAACTTTCTTCTGCCCGGCCTCTGCAGCTGGAGGCGCCTCAGAATCAACAGCCACAGGTGGCTCCACAGCCTCAGGTGAAACCTCAGGTGCCGCTTTCTCGTGCTGCATCTTTCCAGTGCCATAGCCGCCCTTTAGTTTCACTGATCCCCCTTCTCCTCCCTCCCCTCCTTCACTCCCCCCTCCCAACGCCAACACCAGCGCCAGCAATCCCTCCTGTGCTTTCCGCACTCCCTCACTCACTCCCTCACTCACTCCCACTGCCACCCCCCCTCCCTCCAATGCCTCCTCCATCCCCCTCACCTCCCTCCTCCCCTCCTCATTCATCCTCTCTACAAGCGCCTTCGGCAACCTCTTTACTGCCTGCTTCCACACAGCTTTCATCCCCCCCTCTATAATCACACTCAAGTCATGGAACTTAACTAAAAGCATCAGTGGCGAGGCGGACAGCGAAGTTGCGAGGAAGATTCCGGGCGCCAACTCATCGCTGACTGAGCCGCCCACCGCATGCAGCCAGAGCTGGGCGGCAGGCTCGTCTGCTAGTGCCACGTCAGTAACACGTGTAACCAGATTGAACACACGGGAAATGGCCGGCTCAACAGGAGCAAAGCCCTGCATCTTCCCCCGAAGCTTCCTCGCCGCCTCCACCAGCTCACCCAGCTTCTTGGAAACTTCCGCAGCCAGCATCCCCACCTCACTCTCCCCTCCAGCTTTCAAACACAACTCCTCATTCTCACCCTCTTCTCCCTCCTCCCCATCCTCCCACTCCTCCTCGTCCTCCTCCCCTTCCTCCACCTCCTCACCCACCACCTCCTCCTCCTCGGCCCTCGCCTCGGGAGTATCCCAGTAAGAATCCGGCAGGGCTCGGGCCCAGGAAGGGGGGCGCAGCCAATACGGCCTCTGCTGCTCCCCGCTCGCTTCATTCCCGGCCCTCCTCCCCGCTTTATCACCAACAGCAGAAGGATCAGAAGCAGCAGAACCAGCAGGAGCGGTGGAAGCATTGGAGGCAGTGGTGATGGCAGCAGTGGTGGTGGTAAGAGCAGTAGCAGCAACTGCATCTCGGCCTTCCACCTCCGGCAGCAGCAGAAGCTTCCTTCCGCTGATGTTCCCCACATGCCGAACCAACCGATCCTCCAGCAGACGTTTGGCAGCAGCCATGGCCAGCATCGCCAGAGGCTCGGCAACAGGCTCGGCAGCTCCCGAACCTGCTGCGGTTACAGACACGGACGAAGTGACTTGAACCGTGGATGACACCTGTCCCGATGCTGATGTCACCTGGATGGCTGACGTGGAAGAGGATGACGTGGCAGTCAGGAGAGATGGGAGTGCTGGCGCTGACGCTGATGACGCCCCTGCTGCGGGGGATGATGCTGATGTGGCAGAAAGGGATTGGGACGGAGGGAGAGGCATGGAGGCGAGCCATTGGTTCAGCAGCTGCATGCGGGAGAGCATCACAGGGGGGATTCTTCCAGGCGGATTCTCAGGTGATTTCTCAGGAGCTTTTCCAGGAGAACTCTTGGGGGAGCCTCCGCGCGCTGCTGCTGGCGCAAGCGCCAGCGCAGGCGGAACCAGATGCTCGGGGAGAGAAGGCAGCAACGACCACACGTTTCCTCCCCCTCCTCCCCCCCCACCTGAGTATCCCCCTCCTCCTCCCCCATACCCTCCGCCCCCATTCCCCCGATACCCGCTCTCCCCACCGCTCCCACCACCCCCTCCCCCAAACGCTCCCCCGGACCCAGAGCTTCCCCCCGAATATGCTCCTCCGCCTCCGCTTCCCCCTCCCCCTCCCCCGCCTCCCTGGTTCCCGCCGCCGCTCCCGCTCGACCCGCCGCCAGCCGCCGCGGCCGCCGCCGCCGCAGCAGCTCGCGCCTTCGCCTCTTCCTCCTCTTCCCTCGTCATAGGCCCCTCCCTCACGACCTTACACACCACCCACACGGGAAACCCGCTCCTCTTGTCTTCATACATCTCCAAATCCGATTTTAGAGTGTATTCATACATCTTCCACTTCTCCTTCTCCCCCGCTGGCCCCTCCCGCGTCCCGGGCAGCTTGAAACGAAACATTCGGCGCTCGGGACGGAAAAGAAGAGCCCCTCCCATCCCCGCTCCCGCCACTCCGCCCACTCCGCCCGCGCACACTCCCCCCGCACCCACAGAAGCGCCAAGGCTCGGCGCAAGATCCGCGAATGGCGTGGGCTGGCAGGATTCTTTCCAGCAGGGCGGCTTCGGGTCGGACGGCGCCATATCCGCTTCTCTCCGCCTGCGCCGCTCGTTCGGCCGCCATTCCGGTCTAACGAAAAAGAACCCGGTCAAGCCCTTGCCGTCCGGGGAAACGTCTAATCCGGGAAGGTGCCACGGCCTGGGGAACTTAAGGAGCTCAATTTCGGGGATTAGTCCGTCGCAGTCCGCGACGCGTCTTAATCTCTGGACTAAGAGACGGTCTAGACCCACGTCCTCTACCTCGCCGCGAACCTTCCGCGAAAGGTACTGGAAGACCTCCGCGTCGACGGGCGCAAAGCGGATTCCGCGCGGAATCGGCGCACAGCTGAGCGCCACGTGGATCTGACTCACTGCTTGCGAGAACGCCTCCTGCTTCGCGGCGCGGACGAGCGTCTCGATCCCCGCGCGTTCCGCGGAGAGCTGCGCGCGCTCGGCGGAGAGCTGCCCCTTATCCCCCGCGAGCTGGCGCGCGCGGGTTTCGAGCCCGCGCACGGTGCTCTCCAGCGCGCGCACGCGGTCCTCGAGCGCAGACTTGTCCGCGGAGAGCTGGCGCATGGCCGCCTGGTTCCGCGCGACCTCCTCTCTCAGCACGTCGCGCTCCATCACGACTTTGCGCATTTCAGCCTCTGTGCGCGACATGTTGAGTAGAAGCGCCTGCTCTACGCTCAGGCGGCTTCCGCCAATAAGGTGGTTTCCGCCGCCGCCGCCGAGGTGGGGGGAGTTTTGAGGCGCCTCGAACATTCCGCCGGGAACCAGCGACGTGCAGTTCTGGCCGCCGCCGCCGTTGAAGCCCCCGCCGCCGTTTATGTTCGTGTTATTGTAGTTCCCGCTACTGCCGTTGAAATTGCTGCCGGTGAACGTGCTGGACACGTGGTTGACTACGGTCGAAACCGTGGTTGGCGGCGAGCCTCCCTGCCACGTGGGCGCTGGTGATAGGTCTTGGTGGTTGTCGTTATGCTGTTGCTGCTGACTCAGCACCTGTTGTTGCTGATTCAGCACCGATTGCTGCTGATGCTGATGCGGCTGCTGCTGCTTCTGAAGCTGCTGCTGCAGCATCTGAAGCTGATGCTGCTGCAGAAAATATTGGCGGGAAACTTGCTCGTCCCCGCAAGCCATAATATTTCCGCCGCCAACAAACTGAAGTCCGTTTTCCGCGCAATACCCTCCGCCTCCGCCGCCGCCGCCAACGCTGCTTCCATCAGGAGTGGTAATAGATCCGTCCGGGATGAAATCCAGACCGTCCGATGAGAGATCCGCGTCGCCTGTCAGGCAACCCGCCATTCCCGGCATCCCTGTCCCCATCATTGCCCCTCTTAAAGCCGCCTCGTCCGCGTCAAGAAACGCGATCGCGCGATGGATATCGTCCGCTGGCGCGGCTACTCCGCGCAGTTCGGGAAGCGTGTCTATAAATCTCATATCAATGTCCTCCATGTCGGGTACTGGAATCTCCGCATAATCGAATTTCATAGGAGCAGCCATGGCTCTGGAAAGACCTGCCGATGCTTCTATTATTTCTTATCTGAGTCACTTAGGTTCCTAACACCGAACCTTCCAGAATATCCGTTTCAGGCGTGCATTGCAAAACTGCTGGGTTGCAACCAGCTTGGAGGAAAAGCGGTGGTTTACGCAGCGGTTACCCAGTGGTTAGCAAGCAACAAGCTTCGGGAATAAGCGATTGTGATGCGAACTGGGTGGTCGAAGGGCCTGAGCTGAAGGGCCACGACGGGCCAAGGGTACAGTAGTCTGCTTATGCTGCACCGTAGACGCGGGTGAAGTTTCCGAGAGACTATAGCGGCCACACGACACGTGCTTTACGTATCTCGAGATTCGACAGCACAGCATGGCTGCGTGATGCGAGGGAAGCGCAGCACAGCAAGGAACGAAACGGACGCTTGAAAGAGAAGCTCTCGAAGCACAGTACAGTAGCTAGCTCTCAAACAGAGATGCTCGCTTGGAACAGAAGCTCGGAAGAGAAGCTTGCAAGATAGGCTGGGGAGGAACCAAGGGAATGCCAGCCTACCAACCGAGGCTCTGCTGGGAGGGAACTAGAGAATGCCAGCCCAGCAACCGAGGCTGGGGAGGAACCAACCAAGGGAATGCCAGCCTAGCCTACCGACCGACCAATCCGAGCTTCTGCAGAGTCGTCGCGTGACTCGTCGTGAGTCGCGTCGCTTGGCTCCTGACTGGTCAGGTCACGCGTGCTCCACGAGCACGCAGCTCGCACAAGCTAGTTCAGGGCCCAGTTCGGCAGGCATTATGGCCATTATGACCATTATGGGCATTTTTAACGGGCCCCCAAAAAATGCCCCCTCGAAGCAGCTGCGATATCAGACTGTAGCTGCAGTGCAACTTCGGAAAAAATGGCCCGAGTGTTCGGTTGGCATTTTATGGGTCTATATTAATGGCATCAATCGAGGATTTAGCTTCGCAGAAGCTAGGAGGCAGTTGCCTTGAAGGCTCGCGTGATCATGCGTTTGGCTGGCATATTGGACCAGTCTCCCCCGTGTGGTACGGGACCTCGAGGCCGCATGGTGCGACGGATCAGAAAATGGACAGTTTGCCTGAGAAATAGGGTTCGAGGAAGATTCCTCTGCTTAAAAATGCCAGCGTTTAAAGGGGTGTTCGGCTGGCATTCCATTATTGTCTGATTCAGCGATGATCCGCTTATATCGAGCCTGTATAACCTTTCACGCGCTTATCAAGAAAGGTTCCAGGGTGGTCGGTTTACTGTAGCCTATCCCCCGAGGCCCATTTTTTAATGCCTGCCGAACCGGGCCCAGGTTTGGTCAGCCACAGAAAAGCCCAGCCCACAGATTTGTATTCGAGACTCTCGAGAATAGCCACAATCGAAAATACTCCCGAGGTCATTTCACTTTTCTGAGAATCTCCCGATTTCGGTGAGAATCGGCCTAAGATGAGACCCATGGGATTAGTTTGTTCGGGTTACTGCCCGTTGAAAGCACCATCACCATCGCACCCACCTTGTGCTCGGCTTTTCGCAGAAGCTTGCTGTTCTCCAGTAGCGTTACGCGATAGTGCAAGTCTCTATTAGAAACAAAGCTGCAATCTGCCTTGAAGCGAAGTTAAATATTCTACCTGAGGAAGAATATGTTTATTACTTGGAGGTGGGTGGGATAGCCAGGTTTCCTGTGAGGCGCAAGGGCTAATAAGAGGGGTGGTGCGGAGTGGCAGGGCGGGATACCCTTTCCTTTCCGAGAGACCCAAAGCATTCTTATCAATCTAACACCCCGACCGACCACTTGCTCCTTGTTGCTTCATGTTTATAACATACGTACGTGTTATTACTGTACATCCAACTTTTGTTACGCAATCAAGCGACGTTTATTGATAGAATGTGTTATGATCCTTAATCAATACATAGGCATTCAGCCAACACTTCTGAACAAAACGTACACAGAACTACCGTACAAAGCCTGTTTTCAGGACATGTGATTGGGACGCAGACAGAGTCGTATGGAGAGTACGGAAGCTTGGGATGTGCAACCTATTCACGTCAAAGTGTACTCACAGGTACTGGCACGTTTAGTGAATGCAACTGAATGAAAAAACATGTGAGGAACGGTGTAACTAGGCTGTGCTGTAGTAAGGCATGACGAAGTTGCACTACCATACTGGCCTTCAACCTTGCTTCCCAGATTCCAAATCCTCTTCTCCAGCCCTACCTGTCGCAAGCAGACCTGCTCGTTCGTCCTCCCCTCCACTCACATTTCCATCCGATGCTCTTGGAGAAGGTTGGCCTGCCTTGACCATCCCAGTCTCCTTGCCTTCCTTTTCCTTCTTGCCCTTCTCCACCGCCCAGCTATAAAGCACCATTCCCACTACAGCCATGAGCATGCCCATCACATTCTTCATGGTGATCGGGGAGCTGAAAAGGATGAAGCCCAAAACGAGGACAAGGACTGTCTTCATGTGGCCCAGGACTTGGAACGACGTTGCCGAGAACTTTCCAATGCAAAGATACTGGCTAAGATTGCAGACTACGGCGAGCAAGCAGGAGAGGATGATGAAAGCCTGCAGGGGTTCAGGGGAGGAAATATGTGCATAGAATGTTGACTCGATGGAGGAGACAAATGTGCAAGATCACTTTCAGATATGTTGATTCAGGAGGGAGAAAAAAACGCACGGTGGACCGTGAAAGATGGATGAGATTAAGTAGGATGACAGTGCTGATTACAATGGGAGAGGAAGTTATGGATTTGATGGGGAAGGAGGAGAAGTTGAACTCACCGTGCAACCAGCAGTAAGGGTGTATTCTATAATGTTCAGATTTGTAACAAAGTAGTCAACAAAGGGGCCAAGCACCACAAGGGATGCTGCTTGGATGGGTGCAGTTTGGCTGAGCAGGTCAAAGGACCCAATGTTGTACTTGGTTTGAAGGGACCCGATGAACTGAGAAAGGATCAACCAAAAGGAAGACAAAGAAGAACAAAGAAGACACGTAAGGCGTGATTGTAGACAACATGAGCACATAAGTTGCAATCATAACAACACAAGCATTGCGAGTGATACACACAGACGCAGTTTTTGTTGGTTTCAGATACTGAAAGCAGACAAACGGGTGAAAGGGAATAAATGGTGCTAACTCACAATTTGCTGCAAGGCAGTGCTGATGACGGCAACAAGAGCAGCAAGAAAACCCGTAAGGTTCATGCTGACGTCAGTGACGGTACAGACTCCCACTCCCACCATCACAACGGCAACAGAGAATTTTACTTCTCGAGAATACGCCTTGGAGTGGAGCAACGCTTCAAAGAGACACACAGTGGGTATGATACTCAGCTTCGCAATCTGTAAAAGTGGTGAATGACACAAAAGACGTGGTTAAGAGGGACGATGGCAACATCTCAAAATAGAGTGTTGAAGCAGTTGCAAGAGCTTAATCCGAGTTAACGACGGCCGTGTGTTGACCTAACCGAAACACGGCATTTCATCTGCAAATTCTGTCGCACCTGGTAGAAGCCAACGGTGTTGAGCATGAGGCTGAGATTCATCGAGACAATGGAGAGATTCGCGACAATGGAGAACCAGGCGAGCTCCATGAACGGCACGGTGGCTTTGTTTGAGATATAACCCACTGCAGCTGATGCCATGCCGACCAACGCCGTGACCACGAAATGGAATCCCGTCAATGTGCATGCTGCATGGTAGTTGAAACACGAAGACGTTAGGACTACATAACTGATTGCCAGTGACATTGACACAGCGACAGACGGATTTGGCTTCAAGAATTCCGTAGTTTTATCTTCAACGGACGCGATCAGTATAAAGTAGGAAAAGGCCGATGCTCTCAGGTGATTACCTACACTAATAAATGGATTTACTTACCGAATTTAAAGCCATAACCCGACATGACTTGTTTGTTGACCATGATGATGCCGACTGAGCTGACCACATTCATAGTCCATGCTCCTACGGCCGAAACGGCTGCTGGATTGTTAACCATATTGGAAAACTACCTCTGTACAAAGGAATTTGACGAAATTTACGCTGCACGGCGAGGTGCTGCTTGATCAATGGGCTGAAACCTAACGCGACGTCGAAAAAAGCACTAACAGCCGGCAGCAACGAATCAAACTCCACTCAGTTACCGCCTAAACCTAATAGCCAGATCTGCACTAATCAGCCTAATCTTGCTTGTCGACGACAAGACCAGTGCTGTTACTCGGCGTCGCTATTGCTTTCAAGGAAATGCTTCAACTCAAGGTCCTAGATACCGAGGTCTTGGATATCCAGGCCTAGAGCTGATGAACAACGCTTTCACCCTCGAGTTTCCCTGGATCACAGAATTGCGAAGCTCCCAAATTCGTCACACAAACGTTCTTTTCACCGACGCAGGGAGAGTGGCGTGGCGTCAGTTCGTCAGAAAGCCGTCAATCGGCTCGGTTCTGTTCGGTCAATCGCTACGACCCGTCCAGTTTCAAGGTCCTCGCTTTTGGCGGTTGGCGTGGCGAACCATTGGGGAGCGAACTGCATTTGCTGATATCAACGGCTCGTGGGGACCTCTCGAGACCTGTTGGAGAACGTCTGGCCAGGTTCGGCGACACACGGATGAGGGACAAATGGACGTTGGAGACTCGATACTGTATTAGCTCGACTGCAAACCAAAGTAGCCATCTTTCAACAAATCATAATGAATCTCTATACTAGATAATCATGCATAATTTAATGTGGAGATGGCACACATCCCTGTAAGCTACGTGCTAGCTGAAAAGCGAAGGCATATACGGAGTCATCTTTAGCCCTGCCTTCCAGCTTCAACATCATTGTTGCTAGATAGCAGGGCCGAATTTTCGCCATTCTCCATCCCCTCATCAGGCATTTTGGTTGGAAGAGAAGCAGACACCATAGGAGATCTCTGGAGCTTGTCCCTTGCTTCCTTCTCCTTCTTGCCCTTCTCGACAGCCCAGCTGTATATAACCATTCCCAACACAGCCATCAGCATACCCATCACGTTCTTCATTGTGATCGGAGAGCTGAACACTAGAAAGCCCATGGCGAGAACCAGGACAGTCTTCATGTGACCCAAGACCTGGAAGGACGTCGCTGAAAACTTTCCAATGCAGAGATATTGGCTGAGGTTGCAGAAGACTGCAAAGAAGCATGAGAGGCCGATGAAGATCTGCACAGAGAGAAAATGTTGAAAATGTCAAGCGAAGAAAAAAGCACCATAGCAGAATTCTCCCGATACCACTGTATGGCCACACTGGATCGCGAGCATATTTCAGATCAGGTACAGCACCAGCAACGAATTTGTCCATAACTCACCGCAGAGCCCCATGTGAGTTGGTATTTCAGAATGGACTGCGAGGTAAGGAAGAAGTCAAGCACGGGGCCGAGCAGCAGGAGCAGCGCCGCCTGAATGGGAGCCGTCTGGCTGAGCAGGTCGAAGGAGCCGATGCTGTACTTGGTCTGCAGGGACCCGATAAACTGCAGAACGCGGGAGGGGGATAAAAGGAGACAGTTTATATCGGAGCCTAAAGGAGCAGCCTTACCTAAAGTGAGTCTGCAGGGATCCAATGAACTGCAAACGGGAAAGAAAGAGATAGAAGGTGCGGGAGTTCCGTTGAGGCTTGTAGAGCGAGATAAAGAGAGGGACGGAAGGGAAGACTGATGGAGACAACGGACGGAAGAGAGAGCAGGAACAGACGGGAGACGCAGGAGCTTCGTGAGTTCAAGGTTTTGAGGTCGCGGACAAATGGCGGGCATCAGCCGCTTGAGGGAGCGTCGTGCTGACGACGGCGTCAGCAGGGGCAAGGGAAGCGAATGAAGTGGAGCGGCAAAGAAGCCGAGAGGAATGAAGCGGTGAATGAGCTAAGAGAATTGGAACGGCGAGGGAACTGGAAGAAGGGGGGGAATGGAGCGCACACGAGAACGAAGAATCACAATCTGCTGGAGCGACGTGCTGACGGCGGCGACAGCAGCGGCGAGGAAACCGAGAGAAAGGGGCAAAAGGAATACACATGAGGCGAAGACACTCACGATTTGCTGGAGCGACGTGCTGACGACGGCGACAGCAGCAGCGATGAAGCCGAAGGCGTTCATGTTGATGTCAGTGACGGTGCACACACCCACGCCCACCATGACCACGGCCACGGAGAACTTGACCTCGCGGGAGTAAGACTTGGCATGGAGGAGCGCCTCGAAGAAGCAGACGACTGGAATAATGCTCAGCTTGGCAATCTGTGAGGAATGGGAGGAGGACGGGAAGAAATAGGTAGAAAGGCCAGCAGAGGGTGACGTAGGATTCACGCAGAATACCGAAGCCATAAACAGGACTTTCACACACCGACAAGAGACTGTTAGCTTCCGTCCTCTACTGGGGAATGCGTGCGGTCATGCGAAAGGTTATAGACAAGGCCATGTCGCGATGCTGACAAACCTGGTAGAATCCGACGGTGTTGAGCATGAGGCTGATATTCATGGAGACAATGGAGAGATTCGCAACAATGGAGAACCAGATCAGCTCCCACAGCGGGACCGTGTTCTTGCTGTTCAGGTATCCCAGCGCAGCTGAAGCCATGCCGACCAGAGCCGTCACGCCGAAATGTAGACCCGTCAGTGTCGAAGCTGCACAGACCAAACGAACATAAAATCACACACAAAAAATATCAGTAATACTTCTGACAATCCTCTGTGAAGAAAACTGATAGTCGTCAGCTCAGTAGACACGTGTACTGCTTATCGATTGTTCTTGCACGTTGTAGCCCATAGCATCACCACACAGAACGATTCTACTGACTACGCTGGTCTATGAGCATTTAGTTCGTCCCTGACAAGTGGTTCTTGAGACATACCAAATCTGAAGCCATATCCTGACATGACTTGTTTATTGATCATGATAATCCCGACGGAGCTGACCACGTTCATGGTCCATGCTCCCACGGCCGAGATCGACGACGGATTATTCACCATCGTGACCCGTTTGAGTGAAACAGTCAGTTGTTATTCTACTGTCAACCAACACACGTTCCACGAAAAAAACAAGCCCGTATATTGCCTCGTCGCTGACTATTCCGCCTACATCAGCTGGTAAGCTACCTGCAGCAATCAGCAATGGCCTCAGGAGTTGTGAGTACAGTCTGAAGCGTCTGAAGCCTAATAAGCTTCAGAGAAGTAAGATTTAGAATGAGCTATCTGTGATGATGGGCACGAAAGTGAACCAGCTCCGTGTCACAAAATGGGAGGAATGTGATGCGGTACAGTACTTTACAGAATGGTGCAGATTTTCTAAGAATTTCTGGGAGCTTGTGGTGGAGGGCCTGGTTTGGAATTTGGGTGGGCTGGTTTCGCGTCACGGGAAAGGCGAGGCGAGATGAGGCAGGGTACCCTTGCCGTACAACAAAAGTTCTGCAGAAAAGGTCATGCTGCTCGGTACGAGTGAATTTAGCGTGTCAGGCGGGATGGGACTCAGGAGAGGAGGGAACGGGCTGCGTGGAAAATAATGAAAATGGATGGCGTTTAGCGGGTCCCGCCTGCATCTGCTCTTCTTGAAAACGTGGTTTCAAACTTGTGACCGTTTGGCGGCTCGCACTGCGACGTGTGTACATTCCCGTTTTGAAACATCCGCTAACCCAACAAGTAAATGAAGAACAACACTACCTTAATACCTTCATTCATAGAAGCGATTCCTAACCGTAAATCTAGTGAGTGGCCAGCTTCTTTCGACCAGCCAGAAGGCCAGAACTGTAGCAGACGTGCTAGTACAATGCATAGTACATCCACCGCGTGGCTAGCAAGGAAACTAGGACGCTTACTAACACCGGAATCATTGTAAGATTGAGGACTAGATGCGTGCCATAGTATCCAACAAGGGTAATGAGGCCGTCACCTACCACTCGGGCGAAAGTCCCGGCCTCAGTCGACAGAAGACCGCAGTTGAACGTTCCTCTTGCAAGGCGTGGCGACATAATGCGTGACATTAGTGAAAGAGAAACCCCTGCAAAACGCCACACAATTTTCAGACAGAAATCCAGACAGGAGTGTGGGTGAGTAATGCGATTAAAACCCATTCTGAGGACTCCCATAACCCGCCCCTACAAAGCTGCGTGCACTGGAAGCAGCAAAGACGTAGATTGCCCGAAAAGCTGCACTATACTTATGCTACACTAATTACCAAGAAACAGCAGCGCACCTTCGAGCACGTTGCAGGAGACAAAGATGATGACAGCAGCAACAACGTATTGCTGTGTGGTGTACTTGATAATCGGTGCAAAACACATAACGGCTATCACCCCAATCGCGATTAGCATCTGTGTCCACATGATCACCAGCCTGCAGAAGAACAGAGAGAAAGAAAAGGGGGATGGAACAACAGATTTAGCAGAAGCAGCAGATTGCAGAGAGTGCAAATGACAGTCAGCAGGAACTCATTGTTACCATCACCTCCACTGCCATCAGCATTTGTGCTCACACAATCAATAGCCAGTAAAAAAGAGAGACGAGAAGCATCAAACCGCAGCCAGATAACATAATTTGGAAACCGCAGCCAGAAAGAGCTGCCAGAAAAAGCAAGACCAGAAATTGGGTGTGTGTATGTGAGGGGTTGGGGGAGTGGATGAAGGGGGAGTGAATGACGTTAGGTATTGGAGGGGACAAATAGTATCACCACTTCATGCATAAAACGTGTACCAGCCTGCATGCGACGCGGACAAGCCAGCACGCCACATCTACTGCTGACCTGTCCTCGTAAATGTTGGCTATGTAGTTCCCAAACACAGACCGGATGGACAGGACCGCGAGACATGCACTAGCCTGCATTACCCTTGTACCAGCCATCTTGCAGCATACACCATACGTGTGCTATTCTGCAGCATACATGCACTAGCATGCATGCATGATACCTACTACCGACCTGTCCTCGTAAATGTTGGTGATGTAGATTCCAACCACCGAGCTGATGGGTAGAATCGTGAGATGTGCACTAGCCTGCATTACACTTGTGCCAGCCAGCCTACTAATACATACGTGTGCTACCCTGCATCATACATACACTAGCACGCATAACACACCTACTGCCTTACCTGTCCTCGTATATGTTGGTGATGTAGTTTCCAACCACCGAGCTGATGGGTAGAACCGTGAGATGTGCACTAGCCTGCCTTAAACTTGTACCAGCCATCTTGCAGCATACACCATACGTGTGCTACCCTGCATCATACATACACTAGCACGCATAATACACCGACTGCTCACCTGTCCTCGTAAATGTTGGTGATGTAGTTTCCAACCACAGAGCTGATGGGCAGCACCGTGAGTAGATATGGGCACTAGACTGCACCACACTTGTACCAGCCTGCAGCATACGTGCACTAGCATGCACGTATGCATGATACATACATCCACAGCTGCTCACCTGTCCTCGTATATGTTGGTGATGTAGTTTCCAACCACAGAGCTGATGGGCAGCACCGTTAGACCCAGAAGACCCAGAAACCAACCAATCTGAAGGAAGATGAAAATTAAATGGTTAGCTTCTGAATTTTCTCCATGGCCCCAATCAGTTAAGCCATATTCAATCAGTGCTTCTAGAAAACTTTGCTCTGCCACCTCTCTCTGAGTTGTTGATTGACACTAGAAGAAAAAAATGCCAGAAAGATAGGCAAAAAATTAAACATGGTTAGGTGATGGGAGGAAATGAAACTTACGTCATTGATGGTCCATTGGAAGTAATACTTGGATATGAGGCTGGACTCCGATATAAGCACTTCTGTGGCGAATTTGATCATGAAGTACATGAAGAGGAGAACCTGCAAAAACGAGGATGGGGATGGGAAGAGAAGAATGAAGTTCCAAGCCCCCCACTGAACAAACATTGTACTATCGTCCAGAAAACATAGATAGCATACTGTTGCCATATAAAACAAATCAGTAGCGACAACTCCTTGCGCACCTCAGATAGGTGTGACAAACAAATTTTGTTTTGAGACGTCTCAAAACTCACCTCAGATAGGTGTGACAAACAAATTTTGTTTTGAGACGTCTCAAAACTCACCTCAGATAGGTGTGACAAACTAATTCCACATCACAGCTGACCCAAATGTGGTTGTTTCTCACCCCCCATTCAGCATTGACACATATACATTAATGAACCCCAGCATATCGAGATAGGCCGTGACAGCTCCTTCATGAGCTCGGGCAACGTCTCCACCGCCCCAGACGACGATGCAAGCAAGGCACACACCCATGTATGTGTTGACAAATGAATCCACCCCCAGCATTCCGAGACGGGTCGAAACAGCTCCTTCATGCGCTCCTCCGGCAGCGTCTCCACGGCCCCAGAGGACGAGGCCAGGCACACCCATGTATGCGTTGACAAATGAATCCACCCCCAGCATTCCGAGATAGGCCGCGACAGCTCCTTCATGAGCTCGGGAAGCGTCTCCATAGCTCCAGTGGAAGTGGACGGTGCAAGGCAAACCCATATACCCCTCACAAACTGAATTCATTTGACCAACTTACACACATCAGTCAGCCCTGCCATACCGAGATGGGTCGCGACAGACAGCTGCTTCATGAGCTCGGGAAGCGTCTCCACGGCCCCAGTGGACGATGCAAGCAAGACACGCCGAATCTACCCACAGCATACCGAGATAGGCCGTGACAGCTCCTTCATGAGCTCCGGCAGCGTCTCCACTGCCCCGGTGGACGATGCTTGCATGACTTTCTCCCATACCCCACTACTCATCAATGCATCCCTCCCAGCATACCGAGATAGGCCGTGACAGCTCCTTCATGAGCTCTGGCAGCGTCTCCACGGCCCCAGTGGAAGAGTACCTCACTTCCATACCCTGGTACCTACTAGTAGACCCTTCCCAGTCTGCATTCACATCATTGAACCGCACTGTACCGAGATGGGTCGAGACAGCTGCTTCATGAGCTCCGGCAGTGTCTCCACTGCCCCGGTGGACGATGCTTGCATGACTTGCTCCCATACCCCACTACTCATAAATGCATCCCTCCCAGCATACCGAGATCGGTCGCGAAAGCTCCTTCATGAGCTCGGGAAGCGTCTCCACGGCCCCAGTGGATGGTGACTGTATGCCCACTTCCATACCCCAGTACCCACTAGTATCTCTCTCCCAGTCTGCATTTACATAATTGAACCGCACTGTACCGAGATTGATACAGTGCTGAAACACATCAATGAGCCCTGCCATACCGAGATAGGCCGGGACAGCTCCTTCATGAGCTCGGGCAACGTCTCCACAGCCCCAGTGGATGATGAAAGACACACCCATGCGTTGCCGAATGCATCTATCTACCCAGCCCACCGTACCGAGATTGGTCGCGACAGCTCCTTCATGAGCTCGGGAATCGTCTCCACGGCCCCAGTGGACGATGACTGCATGCCTCACCTCCATACCCCAGTACGAACTATCTCCTACCCATTATTCTCTCCCCACCGTACCGAGATTGGTCGCGACAGCTCCTTCATGAGCTCGGGAATCGTCTCCACGGCCCCAGTGGACGATGACTGCATGCCTCACCTCCATACCCCAGTACCAACTATCTCCTACCCATTATTCTCTCCCCACCGTACCGAGATTGGTCGCGACAGCTCCTTCATGAGCTCGGGAATCGTCTCCACGGCCCCAGTGGACGATGACTGCATGCCTCACCTCCATACCCCAGTACCAACTATCTCCTACCCATTATTCTCTCCCCACCGTACCGAGATTGGTCGCGACAGCTCCTTCATGAGCTCGGGAATCGTCTCCACGGCCCCAGTGGACGATGACTGCATGCCTCACCTCCATACCCCAGTACCAACTATCTCCTACCCATTATTCTCTCCCCACCGTACCGAGATTGGTCGCGACAGCTCCTTCATGAGCTCGGGAATCGTCTCCACAGCCCCAGTGGACGATGCCGCGTCATCATCCTCGTCCTCCTCGTCCTCCCCCTCGTCAATGTCCGGCTGAGGGATACAGGCGGATTAGGAAGGAGAGAAGGAGGGAATCGGGGACGGACGGGTGGATGGGAGGGGTGGGTGAGGGAAGGAGGGATGAGTGACCAGAGATACTGGACGAGGAAATGAGTGGAATATGGAGGTAGATCCAAGAAAGCCTAGTCAACTTACCAGCGATCCTGAGCTGCGAAATGATGCTGAGATGATGCAGAAATGGGAGGTGAAAAAAAAAAAAAAAAAAAAAAAAAAAAAGGGGGGGGGGGGAGGAAATGCAAAGATGCACAGATGCTAGAAAGCTAGAAAGGAGAAACAAGCTTACCAGAGAGGCAAGCATCAGCCAAGTTCGCGCGTCACTCTCATCAGCTACCCCAGTGTGCCCTCGCCCTGCTGATGTTGCCGCCTGTGCAGCCACCACACCCGCTGCTGCTGTTCCTGCGGTCAGTGTCGCTGCTGGCACACCATTCCTACTGTCCTGCCCTCCCAGTCCCATCAACAGAGGCTCGGATAAGGCGCTCCCAGCCCCTCTCTTTTCTCCTGTTCCTACTCCTAGCCATCCCCACACTCTGCTCCCTGCCCCAACGCCCTTTTCCCGGTCCCCTGCCCCTGCTTCCATCCCTCCATCCTCAATCCCATGTGAACCGTCAGCAGGAGACGCAGCAGTCACCATGCTCCCCTCTCCCACCACCACCCCATCCCTATCCCCCCACCCTCCCCTCTCCCCCCCAACCCCATTCACACCTACCCCTCCCATCCCTCCCAGGGCCGCTTCTTTCGAACCCCCCCTTTTCAGGTTCCCTCCCAGCACAGCCTCTTTCGACCCCCTCCTCCTCAGGTCCCCTCCGGACTTCTCCCGTTTCACCCCCGCTGCTGCTGCCGATGGCGTCGGCGCCTGCAGGTGAGACCGATCCGGTTCCTTGAAGAAAAGAACGACGAAGGCGAGGTAGAACAGCCAGGCGAACACCATGAGCCAGCCGGGGGAGGTGACGGAGTTGACAGTGAAGCCGAGGAATTTGAAGTTGAGGAAATCGATGAGGGAGGCAGCAAAGGGCCCTGCTGCCATGCCTAAGGCGCCCGCGCTCACGAAGCCGGCCGAGGCTGAGGTGCGTTCAGACGATGGGACGTGGTCCGCGATGTACCGGCGGTTGATTGCGCGGACTCCTCCCAGGCTGCCGGGAGGGAGGGATGGGTGGTAGAGAACAGGGAGCAATGAGCAGTGGAGCCGAGGAATCTGAAGTTGAGGAAGTCGATGAGAGAGGCGGCGAAGAGCCCTGCTGCCATGCCCAGCGCGCCCGCGCTCACGAAGCCGGCAGAGGCCGAGGTTTGTTCTGTTCAGAGGACGGCACGTGGTCCACTATGTACCGCCGGTTGATCGCCCTGACTCCTCCCAGGCTGCAGGGAGGGAGAGATGGGCGGCAGAGAACAGGGAAGGGAGTAAGTGAGCCTCATAGGCATTGAAGTTTGTTCAGAGGACGGCACGTGGTCGGCTATGTACCGCCGGTTGATCGCCCTGACTCCTGCCAGCCTGCAGCGAACAGTGGAAGTGCAGTGGTTAAAGCGTACGGGTTCAACCCTGGTTAAAGCGTACGGGTTCAACCCTGGTTAAAGCGTACGGGTTCAACCCTGGTTAAAGCGTACGGGTTCAACCCTGGTTAAAGCGTACGGGGAGTAAGTGAGCTTCACAAGGCACTGGATTCAGGCCGGAGGGCGGCACGTGCCCGGCTATGTACTGGCAGTTGATTGCGTCGACCCCTCCCCCACGCTGTAGGAGAAGGTGGGAGCGCAATGCAGTGGGTGTGGCGTACGTACAGGGAGGCAGTGAGTCTCAGCAGGCAGGCACTGAGGCTCGCTGTACTGCCTGCCTTTTGATCGTCCATACCCCCTTCACTGCCCACTCCTTTCACCTCTGCCCACTCCTTTCACCTCTGCCCACTCCTTTCACCTCTGCCCACTCCTTTCACCTCTGCCCACTCCTTTCACCTCTGCCCACTCCTTTCACCTCTGCCCACTCCTTTCACCTCTGCCCACTCTCCTTTCACCTCTGCCCACTCTCCTTTCACCTCTGCCCACTCATTTCACCTCTGCCCACTCCTTTCACCTCTGCCCACTCCTTTCACCTCTGCCCACTCTCCTTTCAGGTTCACCTCTGTCTTACCCCGTGAGCGAGCGGCCGATCAGGAGCAGAGCCACAGAGTTGAAATCCAGAGCAGCGGCGTAGGCAAAGTTGCCGAGCAGCAGGACGAGAGTGGAGACGAATAAGGGCTGCGTGTAGGACGTGTTAGACCACTTGCTGAAGATGAAGGCTGAAACCAGCGCACAGAGAGGAGTGGCGCCGATGATGATGCCACAGAGAGCGGGTGGCGCGGACAGAAGGACTGCGTACTCGTCTGAGGTTGGAACGATGATGTAGTAGTTCACCTGCGTGGGGTGGGGTGGGGTGCGGTGGAACAGGGTGGGGTGGGGTGGGATGGGGTTGAGTGCGGTGGGAAGGGGTAAGTTGGGTGTAGGACGTGTTGGACCACTTGCTGAAGATGAAGGCTGAGACGATGATGATGCCGCACAGGGCTGGCGGGGCGGAGAGCAGCACTGCGTACTCGTCTGATGTGGGGACGATGATGTAATAGTTCACCTGGACTGGAGGGGGGAAGGGAGGGGCGCAAGGGAGAGGAGATGACCAGCGCACACAGGGACGTGGCCCGATGATGATGCCACACAGGGGCGGAGAGCAGCACGGCGTACTCGTCTGATGTGGGGACGATGATGTAATAGTTAACCTGGTTGGGAGGAGGTGGGGTGCAGTGGAGGGAGGGAAGGGCGGCCGGGAGGGGGGGATGGCGGGGGGAGGGAGAGAGGGCAGAGAGGGTAAGGGAGGTGGGAAAGGGAGGGGGTAGGCCAGGAGGGATGACGAGCGCACAGAGGGGAGTGGTGTTGATGATGATACAGCAGAGAGCGGGCGGGGCGGAAAGGAGGACTGCATACTCGTCTGAGGTTGGCACGATGATGTAGCAGTTCACCTGGAAAGGGTGGATGAGTTGTGGGAAAGAAGGACTCTTGAGTTGCCTAAGGCAAACAAACAACACATTTGTCTGATGTTGGAATGAAGATGTACTTGTTCGAATGCGAGGAAAAGAAGAAAACGGGGACGAAAGGTAGTAAGCTGTTTCGAACAGAAGTGGTGGCCAGGCCAGCCCACTGGGTTTCAGAGCAGCTGTTGAGTCTCTCACCATGTAGAGGAACGTGTTGAACTGGTTGAGCTGCAGCGAGTCTTTGCAGCGAATATTCAGATTGTCTCAGAATGCAGTGGGTTAACCAGAGCAGATGTTGAGCCTCACCATGTAGAGGAAGGTGTTGAACTGGTTGAGCTGCAGCGACCACCAGTGGAACTCTGGCTCCCCTGCCTCAGGCCCTCTCTCGGGGGCGGGCGGCAGCAGCAGCCCCTTGGGATGCAGTTTTGAAAGCACCATTTCAGGGCGGCTTTCGAACCGCACCTCGTAAGCAAACATGTTCTCACCACGTGCACAACTGTCAAACCTGCTTCTCATATCCCATCTCATAATCTCACGCCCTACAGGAAGCTACCCTCACCATGTAGAGGAACGTGTTGAATTGGTTGAGCTGCAGCGACCACCAGTGGAACTCTGGCTCCCCTGCCTCAGGCCCTCTCTCGGGGGCGGGCGGCAGCAGCAGCCGGGATGCAGTTTTGAAAGCACCATTTCAGGGCGGCTTTCGAACCGCACCTCGTAAGCAAACATGTTCTCACCACGTGCACAACTGTCAAACCTACAGGAAGCCGCTCTCACCATGTAGAGGAAGGTGTTGAACTGGTTGAGCTGCAGCGACCACCAGTGGAACTCCGGCTCCCCTGCCTTGGGCCCTCTCTTGGGAGCAGGCGGCAGCAGCAGCCCCTTGGCCATGTACGTGCTGTACCCCACCGCGTCTGTCAGCTTGGCTCGGGCTGCCTCGATCTCCTGAAAAGGTTTAGCAACACTCACACGCACACACATGCGAGCACGCACCCACACCCCACCCCCACTCCCACCTCCACCGCCACCCCCACCCCAACCCCCACTCCCACCCCCACCCTCACCGCCACCCCCAACCCCTCAAGCGGTCCGTGCATTTGATCCAAGCAAGTACAGACATGCAAAGGATAGGGAGCCTCTCCCACCTCCACCGCCACCCCCCAACCCCTCCCTCTCCCCCTCCCCCCTCCCGCATACCCTCCCACACACACCCAAACATTCACCCCCCAACACACACATTCACAAAGAACATTTATTTGTTTCTGTGTTGACTGGAAGGGAGAGTGAAATGAAAACGACCCCCCCCCTCTCCCCCTTCCCACCTGCATAATCAGCTCCCCCTGGCCCACGTACACAGGGGACTCGTCCCCCTGCCTGAACAGCGGTCTTTGAGACCCGTTCTTTGTAAACCTTTATAACCAAACACGGTTACAGACCATAAGCCACATACACCACCCACTGGAACGATCAACTCCCCCTCCCTGGCCCACGTACACAGGGGACAATAAGCCACATACACCAGGAAAAGTAGCAGCACCCACCTGGATAATGGGCTCCTCACCGGGGACTCGTTCCCCTGCCTGAAGGGAGTCAGGCTTTGAGAGTACAAAGCATCACAGATTACCATACACGGTTACCACCCGCAGCACCCACCTGGATGATGGGCTCCTCCTGAGCCACATACACCGGGGACTCGTCCCCTTGCCTGAAGAGCGAGAATGACGTGCGCCTGGGAGTGCCGGCACCACGTGGCGAGAGGAGATTGGGCGGCGAGGCGAAGCAGCGCTCCCTGCGGTGCAGCTCGTCCAAATTGCGAATGATGGTTCCCACCATGGCGCCCAGACCCTGGGGGGGATGACGTTGGGAAGAGGGAGGAGGGAAAAAGGCAGGCATAAGCACGCAAAGGGGAGGACGAGGCGAGGCAGCGCTCCCTGCGGTGCAGCTCGTCCAGATTGCGAATGATGGTTCCCTTCCCACCATGGCGCCCAGACCATGGAGACAACGACATGCATAAGTCATGTAAAAGGAGGGGGTTAGGGGAGAAGGCATGCACATGAGGCACATGCAGCTCGTCCAGATTGCGGATGATTGTTCCCACCATGGCGCCCAAACACTGGTGTGGGAAAACGACGGAGACATGAAGGGGGGGGGGAATGCAAGTAAACACCACTCCCTCCCTGCGGTGCAGCTCGTCCAGATTGAGGATGATCGTTCCCACCATTGAGCCCAGACTTTGGTGGGGGACGAGAGGTATAAGGCATGGGGGAGGAGAGATAAGGCAGAAACACAGTAATACATACATGCAACACATGAGGAACATGAGGGTGGTTTAGGATGCGAGAGAGTGTTTCCAAATGGCGAATTGGAAGCCAAGGCTCTGAGACGAATTGCCAGGAGGAGATCAGCGCGACCAGAGGGTCAGGAGGGAGGGGAGGTTCGGAGGAAGGATGGGATGGGAAGATGCCTCACTCTCACACACATGAGAGATCCCCACTCACCACTTGTTTGAAGATCTGTTGCAGGTGAGAGTAGGGATGCAGTGTGCGGGAGGCAATGTAAGTGTGTCCCAGCCTCACGCCCACACGCCGATCAAACTTCTTCAGGATCTTGCGCAGCCCCGTGGCGTTGAGCTCCACGAACTGCAACAGCTGCAGCAGCTCCCGCCCCACGTCCCTGTAAGGAGAAAAATAAAAATAAAAAAAATAAGCGCCTGTTCAGTTACCTGTTCAGACAAATTTGTTGCGCATTGAAATAATTGAACAGAATGTACAGTTACCTGTACTGTTCCATCATATCGCTAAAATCAGACGACATGACGATCGCCAGGCTGGACTCGTCTCCCCGCGTGTTCGACCCTTCCCTTTGCTCTCGTAGCCGTTGGAGCTTTCCCGCCAACACGCCCTGCTGCTCCAAGAAGAACAGCACCACCTTCTCCATCTGCCAGCACACAATACGGAATTGAGCTAATATATGTCATTCTCGCAGCTTCAGACAGCCTGAATACCATCCGTGTAACCAACGGTCGTCTCAAGAGAGCTCAATTTAACCAATCCGAGCTTGTTAGCGCTTGCCAGTTGTAATGCCTTCAGGATGTATTGGCATCTGATGGAACCGGGTCACGAAACTACCTAGTAATATGAGAAATGAGACTACTACTCATGCCGCTTAAACGGGAGGCTAATGGCAGCTGAGCTTGGCCTAGAAACTACGAATAACCCTAAAGAAAGAAAGAAACAGACGTACAAGCGTTAGGGTCTAGAAACTGGCTGGACTAAGTCGAGAAGCTCTGAGGAACTAGAAACCAATAATATAAAACCAGAAATCGACCTGCGAGTCGAGATGCTCTGAAAATCGACGTGCCATGTCTTGCTGAACCTCCTCCGTGACCCCCGACGCCACGGCGGCTTCATAGGCTCGGATTTCCTTTTTCAGAGACTTATAGTTGAGGTAATATCTGTTGCAAACAATTGGAAACGCGAAATTTGATTGTTCTCGTCAGCAGTTGGACAAGTATAAGATATTAACATGTATGTACATTAGCTGCGTTTTCTGTAGAGCGCTCCGTGTTTAAGAATGGCGCGAACATAACAAAAGAACTCACAATTCCCATCCTGGTACGCGGTGAGAAAGCAGATATCGCCCGTACTGCACCATTTTCGCATAAAACTCCAAACGATGGGGCGCTACTCCTAGAATATGTACAACATCACATTCAAAGGCGACGGAAAAAGAGACTAATAGTGCATTCCTAGGCTCACGGATTCCAGCTCCCTTTTTCTTCACAAGCAATCTACTAGTTACTACTTGAGTCGCACGACAAGTGCTGGAATAACGAACAGCTAGACCGAAAGAACGGTTTAGCCGCTATTTCCTAACTCCTGTCTGAACTGAATACAAATGTACACACAAGTCAACTGGAGGTGACTACTGTTCCGGTCAAACTGGAGGTGACTAGACAGGCTGCCAGAAGCCATGATCCATCCATCCATCTAGCACCACTTGAGAGATGGGGGAAAGGTGTGAGGCTGGTTGGTGGTGGTGCTTGCTGGGCTGGTGGTGCCTGGCAATTGCCTCGAGCTCATCGCGGCTCTGGCACTGCTACGTAGATATTGGTTTAATTGGGTGGAAACGGTTTGGATGGGATGCAACGGGAAAATGGGCAGGTAATCTATTGTCAGCTCGGGTGCGGCTGAATGGTGTGGTGTGGTGGAAGGGCGGATGAGCCAGTGCGGTGTTGGCTGCTGCTGCTCATTTCTGTGGCTGAGATTTGCGCGCTGCGCAAGATGCTCTTCTGCTATGACTGGTTCAAATCTGACGGCAAACGCTGGATGTTGGCACGCGGACGGACTGAGACGCTGTGGCTTGGGACTTAGCTGACGTCACCGTAACCAGTGATGTGGGGCCTTCCCCTCACATTATTGGCTACGCGAATCGGTTCCAGGCCAGGTGGGGCGGGCCGGGGACCCAAGCCGCGTGTGAGACATGCGGAAGAGAGGAGCCTTGCACTTTCCAGCTCAGATCTATCTTGGGAAACGTAGAGCTTCGGTAAGCCAGCAGAGCAGACCAAATGTGAATGAAATAGAACAGAACAACGAATCTACACTACGATACTCAGCTACTAACCAACTAGTTGCTACTACATTAGTTGTGAGCAAACAAGCAAGCAGTCAACCTAATGTCAAACACATCTCACAACTACCCAAAGTCAATACCGTACGTCACATCACATGCCTTTCAAAAACACGAAAGGCGGTTCCAATACTACTGGCGAGCAAAGGCATTAGCCCCAAAAGCCCGTGAGAACTGAAGCAACTGATTTTGTGCTGCAGCCAGATTGTGCAGCTGCTGCAGACCGGCACTAGCACTCTCCTCCCCTTGCCCTCCCCCAGCTGCTGCTGCCGCTGCAGCCACCGCCGCAGCAGCATTTGCCCCAGCATTCACCCCATCCCACTCATTCCCCCACAAGCGCACCCGATCAAACTCCGCCTCGCCTCCTGCCCGATTCCCTGCCAGCTGCTGCCCGAGGTTAAAATGCACAGGGTTATTTACCCCAACCCCGGAAACCGAGCCTAATGCCGAAGCTACTTCACCCCAAGCTGAAGCCTGCAGCCCTCCCTGCTGCAACACCCGAGCTGCCCCGGCATGCCCCCCAGCAGTGGCAGCAGCTGCAGCAGCAGGGGTAGTGAACTGAAGAGGCTCAGTTTCATTATCCAAACCGCCTAGGTTGGCGAACGGGAGCGACTGGGGCCACTGGGAACCCTGCTGCTCTGGCTCATGCACCTCCTGCTGCTGTTGCTGCTGCTGGTGCTGCTGCTGCAGCTGCTGCTGCGCCTGGTGCTGCTGCTGCTGGTACAGCTGATGATGCTGCACCTCCTCCTGCCGCAAGCTCCCGTACCCCGCAGCAGCTTCTGCTGCTGTCGAGCCGAAAAGCTGCTGCTGCTGATGGTGCTGCTGCTGCGGCGGCTGCTGCTGGTGCTGGTGGTGATGAGCGTTCTGCTGCTGCTGCTCCTGCAACTGCTGGTAAAGCTGCTGAGTCTGCACCTGCGGCTGCACATGCGCCTGCTGCTGCTGCTGACGCAGATACTGCTGCTGCTGATGTTGCTGGGGCTGCTGAGAGCCCTGCCTCTGAGAACCCAGATACTGCCCTTGCTGCTGCTGCTGCTGCTGCTGTTGCTGCAGCTGCTGCTGCCGACGGGACTCCCGCCTGCTGCCGCCGCCAGCAGCACCTCCTGCTGCATCCTCAGCCACAGGGAAGTTGAGATTCATCACCGGGGTTCCCCCCTGCAGGTCCTGCTGAGCCACTCCCCCACCCGCAACACCTGCAAGTCCCGCACTGCCGGCTGCTGCCGCTGCAATCACCGCTGCCGCAGCTGCCGCCGCCGCAGCATGCGCATTACCTTGCTGCTGCTGTTGAACATTTTGTGCTGCAAAAGCACCAGCAGCATCCCCGCCTGCTCCCCCTACCGCCACAGCCCCGGCCCCACCACCAGTGCTGCCCCTCCCTCCGCCCGTCCCTCCCTGCCCCAGCACTGCATTCCGCCCCGCCTGCTGCCAAAGCGCCTCTAAACTCCCAAACCCAGAACCCTGCCAGGCGTCCCCTACAGCCTGCCTGAGGCTGGCTAGAGTGGCATCATCCGCCCCTGCTATGCCCATGAGTCCTGTTTCGGGTTCAGGTACTGGTACTTCTTGTTGCTGCGGCGCCTGCTGCTGCTGCTGAAACTGCTGCACTTGCTGCTGCCGGTACGGCTGTTGCTGCGGCTGCTGGATCGATTGCTGCTGCTGCTGCTGCTGCTGCTGCGGCTGCTGCTGATAGGGCACCTGCTGAGCCCGCGAGTGCCGCACTGCCTGTTGCTGCTGCTGCTGGTTGCTGTGGGTCTGATTCTGCTGCCAATCTGCTTGCTCCACTCGCTCCTGCACCAGCTGCTGCTGCTGCTGCTGCTGCTGCTGCTGCTGCTGCTGCTGCTGCTGCTGCTGCTGCTGCTGCTGCTGCTGCTGCTGCTGCTGCTGCTGCTGCTGCTGCTGCTGCTGCTGCTGCTGCTGCTGCTGTTGCTGTTGGGCCAGGGCTTGCGGCTGGCTCTGCTGCCGCTGCTGCAGCAGCAGCTGCTGCTGCTGAATGTACGAGTTCCTCAGCTCAACAAGAGAAGACGAGTCTGTTGCCCCCGACTGCTGAACTATCGCCGCCCAAGACGCTGCCATTTGCTCAAGCTCCCCCAACCCCTGCTGCTGCGCTAACCCCTGCTGCCCCTGCCCCAGCCCCTGCTGCTGCCCCTGCCCCTGCAGTCCCAGCTGCTGCTGCTCCTCTTCCTGCTGCTGCTGCTGCTGCTCTTGCAACCGCTGCCTTTCCAGTCCGATCCTCCCGCCCCCTCCTGCCTGCTGCGCCACGCCCCGGTTGCCACCACCCCCCCCTGTCGCCTGCGCCAGTGCTGCTGCCACCGCCTCAACGTCTATCTGCCCTTCCAGCCCAGCGGCCACCGCTGCAGCAGCAGCTGCCGCCGCCGCTGCTGCATCAACCTCCGCCACCCCCCCATCCCTCCCCCTCCCCCGGCCCCCCACAACCTCCGCGCCCGCCATCCCCTCCCCTCCCCCCGCCCCTTCACCCCCCCCACCGATTTCCCCCGCGTTCCCCATCTCGTCCGCCCCCACATCCCCCCCTCCCCCTTCCGCAGCACCCCTCCCCCGCCCCCGGTTCCTCCTCTTCTTCTTCTTCCCCTCCCCATTCGCCTGCTGCGCGGACGCGGGGAGAGTGGGCATCTTGGGGATCCGCACACGGGAGAGCGCGGGGAGGTCCCCGTTTCCTATCGCCAGCGCAGCCCCCCCTCCCCGCGGCCGCCCAGGCTTCCGCCGAATCACACCATCCCCGTCCCCTCCTGCGCCCATCTCCCCTGCAGCGTCTACCCCTTCCATCCCAACACCACCGTCCATACCCGCGCTGCCAGGAACACCCGCAGCAGCGGCAGCAGCGCCAGCAGCAGGGTCAGCGGCAGGGGGGAGGCCAGCAGCTGCGTTCGCTTGGGCTTGAATCACCTCTCTCTCCGCTTCCCTCGCTGCGTTCTCTGCGTTAGCCGCAGCCGACGCAATCAGAGACTGAACCGCTGCTTCCTCGTCCTCGTCCTCATGCTTCTCGTCCTCCACAGTTCCCAGAAGCTTCCCCACGCTGGCCGCCACAGAAGACGCCAAAGCATGCGCTTCAAACTCCAACGTCCCCTCCATCAGCTGCTGCCGAGCCTCGTCGTGTGCCGCGGCTAGCAGCGTGGCTTGGGTCCGCCCGTCCTGCAATCTGCTTCGGGCGCGGTACACCGCCTTCTCCTTAAACCCAAACATGAGCTGGTACTTAGCGAATTCCAGCGATCCCAGCCGAATATACTCCTCTAGGGCTTTAAGAACGTCCTCCCACTGCATGTCCCCAGGATGCCCTAAAGCCATCCCTCCGTTTGCTTCTTTAAACTTCGACTTGGCGAGCGCGCCGATGTTGTTGGCAGGGCTCCATGCGATTTGCAGGAGGGTGCGAACGGGTCGTTCCTTCATGGCTATCTGTAGCTTAGTGGCGCTTAGCTCGAGATCTGCGGCGAGTGCCTGGGCTGTTACGGCTTCGCGCTGCTGCTGCAGCTGCTGCTGCTGCTTCTGTAGGTCCTGCTTCTGCTGCTGTAGCTGCTGCTGTTGTTCCTCACTGGACCCGTCACCCACCCCATCACTACCAGCGCCGCCAGCAGACCTGCTCTCTCCTCGTGCCCCACGCACACCATCACCAGCAGCACCTGAAGCACCAGCACCAGCACCACCACCAGCACCGCCAAAACCACCAGCCGAAGCAGCAGAAGCAGCAAAGAACCGCGTATCAGACCCCATGACCGTACCAGGCGGTGCAGCAAGGCCCGTGATAGGGGCGAGCCCGGGTTGGTTCTGAGTGGCGGCCATCCAGAGGCGCGAGATCTCCTCCGTCTGCGCCTTGTTGACCCCCTCCAGCAAGGACAGCTGCACGCGCGCCTGCGCCAGCATGTGCTCCTGCGCCACCACCTGAAAAGGGAACGGTGGAGAGCGGTGGGAAGGGGTGGGAACCGGTGGGAGGTGGTGGGAAACGGTGGGGAAGGTGTGGCGAGATCTCCTCCGTCTGCGCCTTGTTGACCCCCTCCAGCAAGGACAGCTGCACGCGCGCCTGCGCCAGCATGTGCTCCTGCGCCACCACCTGACGGGAGAAGGGGGGGAAAAGGTGGGGAGCGGTGGGGACGGGTGGGGAGCGGTGGGAAGAGGTGGGTAGTAGGGGTGAAAGAACTTGGGGGACGGGCGAGGGGTTAAGGGGAAGTGGGGAAGGAGGAGGTACCGCTCAGAACACATCCTTGACAGAGGGGGGGGGGACAGGTCGCGGCTATGCGATCATGGTAGCCACGTGACTAGCAACGCTACGAGACGGGGTGACTGTACGGCTAACACACACAACCACTGCGCCCACCGCCTTACCTGCTTTTTCATCTCCCCGAACGCCTGCTTGGCCGCCTCCTTGGTGTTCCGCGCGCACCGTGATCCCACCCTCCTTCCCCTCTCAATCTCCTCTCAAACACAACCATTCCAGCACAAAAATACTCTGCGCCCACCGCCCTACCTGTTTCTTCATCTCCCCGAATGCCTGCTTAGCCGCCTCTTTGGTGTTCCGCGCGCGTCTTAGCTCCCGCCCCATCGCGATCTGCTCTCCCCTCATCCGTTTCATCTCCACTATCGCTTCTTCTAGAAGCTTCTGTTGGCTCCTCAGACGTTCCCTGTCCACGCGCTCCCTCTCCGCCCTCTCTCTTTCCATCCGTTCGCGTTCCCTTCTCTCCCTCTCCAAACGCTCCCTTTCCGCCCGCTCCTCATCATCTGCGCCTGCGGGAACTCCGCCAGTGGCAGCGCCGGCTTCCGCCTCCCCGTCCCCGTCCGCCTTCCCCTCCCCCTCCGCCCCGAGACCAACCGCGTCGGGCGCAACTACTTCCTGATCGTCCTTCCCCTCCCCCTCTCCCTGCTGTTGCGCCGGGCGCTCTTTTTCTCCCGCCTTTACCCTCTGCGCCCCCCGCCGCCTCTCCCGCTCCCGCTCCCTGTCCTGCGCCTTCCCGCGCAAAAACTCCTGCTCCAGGCGCAGCTGATGCGCCCAGTCTCCGGTCGCATCCTCCGCCTCCCCGTCCCCTCCTTCCTCCTCCTCCTCCTCTTCCGCCCACAAGTCCTCCCCAAGAATGCTCATCTGTGGCTGCCCTTTTATCCCGCTGCTGCCCAAGGTGCCCGGAAACAAAGGCACGGGCATGCTATCCGTCAAACGAATCTTATTCCCATCCTCCCCCACTGCTTCGTCTCCTAATTCTTCCCCTTCCCCTTCTCCTTCCTCTTCAATCCCCATTTTGGTCCTGTCTTTCTCAAGCCCCTTCCGCCTGACCTTCTTTAAAGAGCCTCGAAGACTCTCCTTATGCGCCCGCATTCCACGTTGCAACCCACGCCGCATCTCACGGCGTCGCCTACGGTCCATGTTCACTCCCCCGCGGTTGGCCGGGAAGAACAACACGTCATTTTTTACCTCCACCACGTCATCATCCTCATCCTGCAAATGCTGGAACCGCCTCCGTCCTTTCCGTTTCCGCTTCCCGTCCACGTCAGCACCGCCAAAACCATCCAATCCTGCAATGCCACGAAAACCCGCCCCCGATCCCCGCCTTCCACGCAAGTTCCGCAAGCCCTCTCCCCGCATTCCACCCGCAAACCCCCCCTCATCCTCCTCCTCCTCTTCCTCCTCCGCCATCTCATCGTAATGCGCGTCCTCATAACGCGGGGCCTTCGGGCGCGCGCTTATGCCCATCTCCGCCGCGAAGTTCGCCGCCCAATCCGGAACGAACTTGCTATCCCCTTGGGGTCGCCGCCCGAAGCGGCCAAAGAGGGGATCCAAAGGCAGGGGCACCTGCTGCTGCGGCAGCGGCGGCTGCGGAGGATGCAGATGCGGCTGGAGCCCGAGCCGCGAGTGGATTTTGTGCGGATGCGGCCGATCCAGCCCCTGCGCCGGTCCGCGCGGTAGCGCCACGTCTCGTTCCACGCGCGGTTTCTTCTCCCCGCGCTCCAGGAACGCCATCCCCACGCGCACGGCGTCCGCCTCCGCGAAAGCGCGCCGCTTGAACGGCCGCCCGCCCAGCGCGTCCTCCATGAGCGGAGAAAAAGCGTCCGCGTCTGGTGCCTCCGCTCTGCGGATCTTCTTCGGCCGTCCGCGTTTCCGCTTGAAGGGGAGGTCCGCGTCAGCCGGACTTAACTTTGCCGGCAGCTCCTTGCCGTCACCGTCACCACCACCGCCACCGCCACCACCGTCGTCATCGTCTTTGTCCCCGTCTCCTTCCCCGTCTCCTTCCCCGTCTCCTTCTCCGTCGCCGCCGTCACCGTCACCATCGCCGTCGCCGTCGCCGTCAGCATCGCGTTCGTCGTCGCCATTGCCGTCGCCGGCAACGTTGCCTTCACCGTCATCGTCATCACCACCGTCCATGTCTCCGTCAAGGTCCCCGTCATCCTCGTCAAGCCCATCCTCGTCAAAGGCGGCTTCGATAGGATCCAGCAGGACGGATGCCGTTTGCTCCTGAAACATTTGCATCATGTCCTTGCGCGGAGGATCCACAGGAAACTGCGCCGACTGCGGAACCTCCGTGGACATCTTTTCTCCGACATCAACCGGCGCGTCCGCAACATCTGGGCCTCCATCTTCCGCTCCGCCTCCCCCTCCGCTTCCACCTTCCGCGTTACCTCCGCCTTCCACTCCGCCTCCGCCTGGCGCGAGCGTCGGCGCGAGCTCCGGCTCCATACCCTTCTGGCCACCTTCAACCTCAGAAGCTCCAGCTTGTTTCGATCCATTGTTCTGTTTCTCGAGGTCATTACGTTCAGTCGCGTCGTTGCCGTCAACTGACTGCTTTGCAACATTAGCAGAACCGGGAATAGGCTCATTCGCAGGAGTAGGATCAATTACAGAATTATCAGGCTTCAAGTCGTGGCTACTAACGGGTTCTAGAGCGTCGGCAATTTCTAGAGGAGCGGAAGTGTCACCGTCGTTGGTTGTGGGAGGCAGTTCAGAGGAGGTGGTGGTTTGTGGATTTGTAGGTGCTGTCTGTAGCTGTAGTAGCGTCTGAAGAGATCCAGATGTCATTGTGCCACGATTTGCGCTAGGGGAAGAAAGCAGAAAATAAAACGGTTTCGAAAAATAGCAGCGCACAAGACAAGAAATAAAGCTTCGCGTTGGCTGACCGAAAGCTAGTGAATCGTCCTGTTGCCAAGGAAAATAAACTCAGGTGACGGAGGTGCTGGTTTCTGTTCTGTTGAACACTAGCGGCCAAGCAAGGTGAGGGCAAAGAAAGGAACACTAGCAAACGTTGGGCGAGGAAAGTGGTCAGCGACCAACAGCCATGGATGTTGCCGCGAGGAAGTGCCTCTCGAAAACACCAAACTCGAAACTCGAAAACTTGAAACTTCAAATCGCAAATGGCAGGTTCGTTGGCTCTAGCCCACCAGTACTGCTCGAAACAAATCCAGGGTTTCGTCCATGGGCACGTAGGTCTGAACCTCCGAATGAACCAGAACACTAGTGCGCTGCTCGACGATACCTTCGCTTCAGCCAAGATATGTGTGCTTCTACAATTTTATGGTCTGCCCGATTGGATATCGACGTGGAAGGTCTTGCGGGCAGCGCTGCACAGCAGGCTGGTTGGCCGCGCATGGTCCAGCGTGGCATACAGACCACTGCGCTGACCATTGGTGGAGGGGGCCAGCGAAACCCTATTTGTTATCCGGGCAGCACTCACAATATTTGTTCCTCTGCAGTCATTGATGAAACCCTAGCTCCTTCATCCTTCTCCAGCTTTCCTCCTCCAGAGGCACGGACTGTATAATGAGGTTGACTACACCTCCCGTTGGGTATGCTTCTAGGTGTGATTGAAATCTTTTGCATCAACTGTTTCATCGCAGCAATTCCATTCCAACGTGCTTCTGTCCTGATCGGCATGCTTCTTTTTGCCAGTCTAGAGTGACCACCAGCCCAGATCGCAAACAAAAGACCCTCGCAATTCACCCACTCAGCTAGGTGACTCGCAGAACTTTCAGAACAAGGAACCCGGTGTTCGCAGAATGGGGTCAATCGAGTTTTAGGTAATTGTTGCCGCTTTCCACTCATTCACTGTGTTTCAAAGGAGGCGTGGACGTCACTTCTGTTGTGGAGCCGTGCAGCGAAAAAATGCATCGAAAGTGTGAGATATATGAAGGCTAAATTGTTTTTCCCCAACAAGACAATAGATCGTGGAGTGTATGGACAAAGTTCCCAGCCAGCTATAGAGGTATCAGCAAGCATTTCGAACAAAAGAAAGGGTGGAAAACTACCTGAAACACAACGACCCATTTGTGGAGACTACTTGTACACCTTGACATCGCACACAAGCATTTGGCTCGTTTACATGTTAGTGCTGGAGGGCCGACCCAGCTCTCAGTAGCACGAACTGCACCTAAGTTTCCCGTATGTTAGGTGTGTGATAATACTGAATGGTCTAGTAGAGACATCCCCCACAGTTGTGAACATGGGATGGGAGCCGAGCCGAGCCGATACGAAGTGTGACAATACGAATACGGCTTTGTTTGGTAGTGGTCCCAAACATGAACAGTTGAACAGCTTGTTTGTGTTGTGTACAAGCACAAATCCGGTTTGAACATCGAGGCATGTCATTCAGGGTTCGTGTAGCGCGGTGCAGTACATTATATCAAGGTCGAAAGCGGTTTTGCAAACAAGTATGACCTGCCCCCAGCCCGCAACAACACAGTTTGAGTGACTTCCATTCAGTTCAATAGTTCCTAATCCTAGGTTAATTTCCATCGACGTGTGTATCTCTAGAAGCCTCGGTTAGTCTTGGGAGGTGAAGGAGCTCCGATTTAACGTGGTGCCGGTATCCCACAAGGTCCTCCGATTTGTATCTATTCACATTCGCGTACTATCGCCGGGTTGACATTCATTTCACAATGAGTAACCTTTCCTTACCGCCAGCTCAGATCGCTGCTCAGCTTCGGCGGGAGCACGATCACCCGCAACAGCAACAGCAGCAGGAGCAGGAGCGATTGGTCAGCACCAATCACGTGTCAGCACCCGACGGCACAACTAACGGCGACGGCAACGATGCCGGCTCGTATGGTGTCCCCTCGCCGGCCAACAGAGCAGCAGTCTCACGACAAACTTTTCAAGCTGCCGTTTCCCCGCATTCTGGTTCACCGGGAACCGCTTCAGGAGTGTCTGTGTACAGTCGTGAGCTGAAGGTGGTACCCGGGGGAGTTTCCGGCATGACAATCGAGGCCGCGGGGACCGAGCTGTCCGGTCAAATCATGCACAATCGGACGGCGTCAGGTCAATTAGCCGTTGCGCCTCCGTCGTCGCCGCTTGGCCTCCCGGGGTCAAAATCACGTCCGTCAGTGCACTCATCTGCGATGCCCTCCCCTGTCAGTCGATCGGGGGGTAAAGCCGCCGGTCCCCCTCCCCCTCCCCCTGCCGTATTCCACAAAGCCCTGAAAGACTTGAGGGCGATGTCGGACCTTCCACGTCAGCTTGCTGCAGCGCGTGCTCTTCGCGAAATTGCACGCGACTTCGAGGGGAGCCGCCCGGCCATGGTGGAGGCAGGAGCCGTTTCCGCGTTGCTTCCGCTTTTGGGAACTGGTGAAACCTCGCCAGGTCAGCAACAGGAAGGTTGTGGTGGGGGAAGTTCAGGAAGGGTGGCCGGGGAAGATGGATCGACAGAAGCAGCAGCAGCAGCAGCAGCAGCAGCAGGCGTAGGTTCGGGCGAAGTGTCTAGAGCTGCAGTAATGGAGGAAGCGGTAACTGCGTTACTGAATTTGTCCATCCATCCAAAATCTCGCACACTCATGCCCTTTTTGGGGGTTCTTCCACATCTAATCCGTGTGGCTGGGAGTGCGGACAGTATGAGTGCACGGGAAACTGCTGCTGCTACACTGTTTAGCTTATCAGCTGAAGACGAGAATAAGGTGATGATGATCGACGAGGGTGCTGTACCGCCGCTGCTGGATCTTTTAAACGAGTCAGCTTGTAGTGAGCAGGGAAGACGGGACGCCTGCAAAGCGCTGTTCAACCTCTCCATGCTGAACTCAAAGCGGCAGCAGTTGATAGAAGCAGGTGCTGTGCCTTCCCTTCTGGGTCTGCTATCTGAACCTGCATCGGCCCTTGCAGAGAAAGCTGTGGCCGCTCTTTCAAACCTCTCATCTGAAGCCGATGGCAGGGCTGCTATTATGGGGGATGAAGATGATGGCCTGGGGGCTCTGGTGGAGGTTCTGGAGACAGGTACACCAAGGGGGAGGGAGTTTGCAGTTGCGGCTTTATGGCAGATTGCAAGCAACAATGAGGAGCACAGGAGGTTGATCCTTGGAGAGGCGCTGCTGCCTTCGGTTAATGGTCTACTACAGACTGGCACTCCTAGAGCTAAAGAGAAGGTGAGCTTGTGTTTTCATTACTCGGTCTGTGTGTCTTGGTAGACTGCAAATAACTGTTGCGGTTTCCTTTTCAGAATCGCTTTCACTCAGTTGTGGTTTGATGTGTGTTTTTTCCAGGCGAAATTGCTCTTGGCCAATCTCCGTGGAATATGATGTGGATGTCGTATTTATAGTATCATCAGCAGTGTTATACAACGTTTTTCCGTCCAATTAAGACTGCAGTACATAATCAATATAAACAAATGAATGGACTTTCGACTACAGATAATGCATCTTTCAAGCCCTCGGCACCTATCTGAGACGGTCATATCCAACACGCTTTTATGGTGTGGTCTGAAGCCAAGCTCCAGAGACCGTATAGTATCTGTACAAGCTCAGGCCACGCCGTCACAGGGCATCATGTGAGCATGGCCTTCGTTGAGCTGCTTGAAATATCAGATGAAAATTGGCGAGTTCATGGTGGACTTCCGGCGGGACGGCCGGCGACGAGGGCTGGACGGCATGAGGTCGTTCCAAATGTCGTCCCACTCGTCCTTGCGCTGAGTTTTTCTACGTGTTGGTGTATTGCGAGAAGGCTCCGCTGGAGATTTCGAGACCATCGAGACAGACGCTCTCCGTTTCTCACAACGCTTAAGAGCCAGCTGTAAAAGGCAAAGGCAGGAGCACGGGTTCACACGTTAGAACCAAGCTCACGGCTAGTAAGGAAAAGCTCATGCTAGAGATGACATGATTTGTCAACTACTGACCTCGTATGCTGAGTGGACTTCGAGGAACTTGGAGGTAGTATCTTCAGCGGGATTGGCATCAGGATGGTAAGTTCGTGCGAGCTGCCTGTAAGCTCTGCGAATGTCATCAGCACCAGCACTGGACGGAATCCCTAGAACGCTGAAACAATCTGAGCCAGTTCTCCGTTCAGGAGTGGCTGCTAGTCTCGCTGTGACTGGCGATCGTAAGTGTCCGTGAGATAGCCTGGGAGCTGAAGCATTGTCTGTCCGTGGAAGGGCTGATATTCTAAAGAGGCACGGAGACACGTCTCGCTGATGAATTGTCAGAACCCCCTGTGAGTGAACCATGGTGGACGAGAGCGACAGTCTTACAAGAAGCAACTCTAGTACACTGGCTCCGTAAGCAGTCTCGATGGGCAAGGAAGGAAATATGTTGGAGATTTTCTTTTGAGTAGAAAGCACAACTGAGTAGGTTGAGAGCAGGATGAAACTACAAATATGCAGCAAAGCCAGAAGATATACTCCTCCACCGACGACTGCGGAACCCTAAAGCGGCTGTAAAGCGAGAGGAAAAGTCGGGATTCAAGGAGCGGAGGATCAGGTTACGGAA